ATATCCGAATGATATAGACAAGTTATTGAAAGGGTACGCACCTAAGCACTGAGCGCGTGTGCTGGAATATATGAAGATGATACCGCAGTTCTGGAAAGATGCAAGTGCGTCTATGTTGCCACAGACAAACTTCAGACACTACTGAAGAGGTTTGACAACTGGGCCTGTAAATGGAATGTGGCCATCAATACACTGCCTGCTATACGAGGAAAACGACGACTAAGGACAGTCACTATCCGGGAGCTGCCGACCCGTCGAATAAACTAATGAAAATTGAATTGTTAACTTTCCTTTACCTTTACTACAGGTTGTTTAGATGTACGATAATAGAAGACTATAACTTGTAGAAGCAAAGTTGTAAAGAAACTAAAAAAAAACTTTCTTTTATGAAAAAACAAAAAAAAGAAATGTAAAAACTGTCATCGGAATATCCGATGGTTATAGACAATTAATTGGAAGTGTATTAAAAAGTTATGGAAAAACTCACCTGTGCTCCAGAAGAAAGCGTGCTTGGCTCCACAATATACATCCTTTACAATCCTCTTCAGGGGATGACACCTGGGATAAATCCAATGAAGGGGCTTGGAGCCCACACAGACGACCAGTTTTGGCGGAGGCGTCCAGAGACCACACGCGCGCGAATACTAACGACCGATTTCCGTGAAGGCTCTTGGAGCCCACGCGCGCGAATACTAACGACCGATTTCCGTGAAGGCTCTTGGAGCCCACGCGCGCGAATACTAACGACCGATTTCCGTAAAGGCTCTTGGAGCCCACACGCGCGCATACTACCGACCGATTTCCGTAAAGGCTCTTGGAGCCCACACGCGCGGATACTACCGACCGATTTCCGTAAAGGCTCTTGGAGCCAACACGCGCGCACACTATCGCCCGATTTCCGTAAAGGCTCCCGGAGCCCAAACGCGCGCACACTGCCGCCCGATATTCGAAAAGGCGCCTTGAGTCCACACGGATGCCCGGTTCCAGTGGAGGCGCCCGAAGCTTACACGGACGAACGAAACTTCCCGGTTCCCGCGGAGGCGCCTGACTCCCATACGAACGCACAGCTCACCCTGTGGCCTCCAGTCCAGGTGGAAGCGCCTAGATCCTGGGGTGGCGTCCGGTGGCGGAGGAAACGCCTAGAGTTCGGCGTGGCGTCAAGTGCCGGTGGAGGCGCCTAGAGTCCATGGTGGCGTCCAGTGCCGGCGAGAGCCCGAGAAGAAGCCCGGGACGCAGATGCGACGAACAGTCGTTCCATCCGGGGGAGGATTCCAGCTACTCCTCCCCCGGAGTACTAAGACCGCCAGTCGTTCCACCCGGGGGAGGATTCCAGCTACTCCTCCCCCGGAGTACTTGACCGTCAGTCGTTCCATCCGGGGGAGGTTCCAGCTACTCCTCCCCCGGAGTACTTGACCGTCAGTCGTTCCATCCGGGGGAGGTTCCAGCTACTCCTCCCCCGGAGTACTTGACCGCTCGCCGGTCAACAGTCAACTGGCTTCGCCACTGCAGCTGCTCGTCTTATATAGGGCGAGGCTAAGTGTGACCAAAAGAATATATTTGAAAAATACCAAGTATCGATATTTTATATCCAACTAATTTTTTGTATTTTTTGCCGATATATTCAGCTGAAGATCTGGTACTATTGGTCGCTCTTAACCGCCAATTTTAAATTTAAAGGTACTTCTTCAAAAATATCGATTACTAATATATCGAGATGTAAAAATACTATAATTTAACGCCAAATTTTAAATTTAAATATTAGTCTGGCAATACTGGTGTCGCCATTTAAATATTAAGGTTGCCAGATCGGTCACACTCAATAAATTAATTTAACCGCCAATTTTTTAATTTAAATTTTAAGGTAGTTCTTAAAATATATCGATGATAATATATCAGTGTAAAAAAATAATAAAAAATTATTTTAACCGCCAATTTTGAATTTAAATTGAAATATTAGTCTGGCAATACTAGGTCACCATTTGCCAGATCGGACAGTCAATAAATTAATTTAACCGCCAAATTTTTTATTTAAATTTAAAGGTGGTTCTTAAATTATATCGATGATAATATATAAGGGTTAAAAAAATACTTACACGGACGCACAGAACCGCCCGGCTCCCGCTGTGGCCTCCAGTGCCGGTGGGAGCGCCTGGAGCACGAGGTGGCCTCCAGTGCCGGCATAAGCGCTTGGAGCACGGGGTGACCTCCAGTGCCGGTGGGAGCGCATGGAGCACGGGGTGGCCTCCAGTGCCGGTGGGAGCGCCTGGAGCACGGGGTGGCCTCCAGTGCCGGCATAAGCGCTTGGAGCACGGGGTGACCTCCAGTGCCGGCGGGAACACCTGGAGCACGAGGTGGCCTCCAGTGCCGGCAGAAGCGCTTGGAGGACGGGGTGACCTCCAGTGCCAGTGGGAGGACGGGGTGACCTCCATTGCCGGCAGAAGCGCTTGGAGGACGGGGTGACCTCCAGTGCCGGTGGGAGCAAGGGGTGGCCTCCAGTGCCGGTGGGAATACCTGGAGCACGAGGTGGCCTCCAGTGCCGGCGGAAGCGCTCGGAGCACGGGGTGGCCTCCAGTGCCGGCGGGAACACCTGGAGCACGAGGTGGCCTCCAGTGCCGGTGGAAGCGCTTGGAGCACGGGGTGACCTCCAGTGCCGGTGGGAGCACGGGTTGAACTACAGTACCGGCGGAAGCGCTCGGAGCACGGGGTGGCCTCCAGTGCCGGTGGGAACACCTGGAGCACGAGGTGGCCTCCAGTGCCGGAAGAAGCGTTTGGAGGACGGGGTGACCTCCAGTGCCGGCAGAAGCGCTTGGAGGACGGGGTGACCTCCAGTGCCGGTGGGAGCCAGTCGTTCCATCCGGGGGAGATTTCAGCTACTCCTCCCCCGGAGTACTAAGACCGCCAGTCGTTCCACCCGGGGGAGGATTCCAGCTACTCCTCCCCCGGAGTACTTGACCGTCAGTCGTTCCATCCGGGGGAGGAATCCAGCTACTCCTCCCCCGGAGTACTTGACCGCTCGCCGGTCAACAGCCTACTGGCTTCGCCACTGCTGCTGCCCGTCTTATATAGGGCGAGGCTTAGTGTGACCAGAAGAACATACTTGAAAAATACCAAGTCACGATATTTTTATAGTCAACTAAGTACTGGTATTTTTTGGCGAATTATTTAGCTGACGATCTGGTACTATTGGTCGCTTGAGACGAAAAGTCTGGCAACACTGGTATGCTGCATCCAGCGTTGCCAGACATCCTGTGAACTAGTAAACCGTGTTGCCAGACTTGCCGTGAACTAGTAACTCGTGTTGCCAGACTTCTCGTGAACCAGTAAACAGTGTTGCCAGACCTTCTGTGAACTGAAAACAGCGTTGCCAGACCTTCCGTGACCTAGTAAATAGAGTTGCCAGACCTTGCTGCCCGACCGACCAAATGAACCAGATCGTCAGTGGAAAGTGTTGCCAGTTTAGCTTGTTGTAAGCTAGTTTTAGCATATTTTAAACTAGCTTATAGCTGAAAATATAGCTTATTTTTAAATTCATCTAGCATATTGTCGGCCACACTATGCTTTCCCCTACGTCAAATGCGGCCCACGTGTTTTTATTTGGTATTAATGTAAATAACGTTAACGTAAGGTTTCATAGTGTGTCTTACGATGAAATATTAAGGTACTTCTTTATAATATCGATGTTTGATATATCGATTCGTCAAATAACGTTAACGTAAGATTGCATAGTACGTTACGAGGAAATATTAGGGTAATTCTTTAAAATGTCGATGTTCGATATATCACGATGCAAAAATACTAAATTTATTAGGCTGTGTAAATATCTATATTTTGGAATATTTTTTACACCCTCACTGGTCATACTATCTTTTTGCTATTGTTTTTCCGCAACGCATGTACATACAAATGCATCCCACGTGTTTTACTTTAGTATTAACGTAAACAACGTTAACGTAAGGCAAAAATACTACATGTTATTTATCTATGTAAAAATATATGTTTTGGAATATTCTTTACACCCCCAGCGTCCGTACTATATGTTTGCTATTGTTTTTCAGCAAGGTATGTACATACAAATGCGGGCCACGTGTTTTTTTTTAGTATTATTGTAAATAACGTAAACGTAAAGTTGTCTTACGAGGAAATAGCGATGTTCGATATATCACGATGCAAAAATACTAAAATTATTAGCCTGTAAATATTTATATTCTGGAATGTTCTATACACCCTTACTGGTCATACTATATTTTTGCTACTGTTTTTCTGGATGGCAAGTTCATACAAATGCGGCCCACGTCTTTTAATTTAGTATTAATGTAAATAACGTTAACGTACTTCTTCAAAATATCGATATATCATTATACAAAAATACTAAAATTATTAGGCTGTGTAAATATAAATATTTAGGATTTTCTTTACACCCTCACCGGTCACACTTTTTTTGTTATTGTTTTTCGGAAAAGTAAAAATAAAATGCATGTTTTTTTCTGGCGCTGCACCCGACCTAAGGTTCACACCGGCCTTTCATAATTGAAAATATACTCACCTGCCAGAACTGTCACAACGTGTCGTCGCGGCACGAGTAATTCCTGTCGCTGCCGGTGGCCGTGGAAGCATTCGCCACCGCAAACCTAGTCCCGACTCTCGCTCCTGGCCAGCGGCAGCTCCAACAATACCAATACAACCACTACCACGACCTCTGCCAGCGGCCAGCAGACGGTCATCAACAACAAGTTTTAAAATGGCCATGTCAACTTTACGGCCTCGTCCTTCACCTCCACGGGGATTAGCCGAAGCAGCAACCGCTGGATCTGTCTAAATGGCAGGTGAAGAAGGAGCGGGAGCGCAAGGCCAAGCATCAGCGCCTAAAGTTTAGCGGGAATGGGAATGAGCTGGGGTTTGGTCCTTCTTTAGATAGAAAGAGATTGTTGCTGTGAACTTAGATAAGGCAGTACTTGCAAATAAATGATAAATACCCTTTTTCAAGAAAATAACAGTTAAACTAAAGGCACATTGAATGAAAAAGGTTAAATGTGCAATACATATCGGTCCATTCTTCATTAGTTATATGTTTACTAATTGTACTTATTTTACATATATACATATATCTTATGTTTAGAAAGTCAAGCCCAAGGCAAAGGGCTTTAAAAAAGTAATTTATTACAAAACAATTTCCTTAAAATTCATATAGAATATATATCATATTTTTAAGATTAAAATATGTGTTTAAATTGCGTGTCTTTTTCACTTGCTATTTTTTTGACCTCATAATATTTTCTTGTTATTTAAACTAATAATTTTAATATTAAAATGCACTTTCTTTAGGCGCTGTCGTTATCGTCGTTCTTATTTCGCTCTCTTTGCTGTCTTTTTGTGTGATATCCTTCTAATAATTGATTTTATTACCACCGAACTAGTGCTTGTTTCCGTTGTATTGCTGTTCCATAATATCGCCCATGTTAGTTAAGCAAATCAAAGCCATTTCGTAGTACAATTCTCTACGACCAGCAGCAGAGGACGCAGGCGCAGCCACCACTGCTCCTTGGGATGCGCTGACTGGAAAAAAAACAAAGAAAACAATAAAATATATTTTTTCATGGTATAAGTACGTCTCCACTCACCCAAAGTTAGTCTCCGCAATGAGATCCACCAGCGGCGAGAAGTGATACTGCATGGACACAATCCCCAGCAGCGTGTCCGTGTCTGGAGCCCTGCAGGGGACCACTCCGTTGTCGTCTATATTGGCCTCGATCCGCGTGGCCAGCCAGTCCACCCACTTGGCAGGCACTCCTCCGCGACGGTGATGTACATACCCTCCTCCTCGTAGGCCGAGTCGTGCTTGCCCAGGATTCGCAGCAGAGGACGCAAGCGCAGCCACCACTGCTTCTGGGGATGCGCTGACTGGAAAAAAACAAAGAAAACAATAAAATATATTTTTTCATGGTATAAGTACGTCTCCACTCACCCAAAGTTAGTCTCCGCAATGAGATCCACCAGCGGCGAGAAGCGATACTGCCTGGACACAATGCCCAGCAGCATGGTGTGCCCGGTGCCTTCCAGTTGACCACTCCGTTGGAATTTATGTATATTGGCTTTGATCTACGTGGCCAGCCAGTCCACGCACTTGGCAGCCATCAGTCAACTGAAAGACTCCCACGGACTTAATCTTGCCGCACACAAAGCAAAACGGGCACGTTGAACTCATTGTCGCCATGGAATTCTTAATATCAAAGCTTGTTGTGCAAAAAATATATAAATTTGTGAACAATTCTTATAAATGCTTGAACTTTGGCACGCAGTGTGGCCAAGTTGGGAAAATCGAAAGATCCCTGAAAATATACTAGAGGGAGGGCATATCGATAAACACAGCCAGAGGTTGAGCCCAATTTTTATCTGGCAGCGCTGGTTTTCTGGGATTTGAGATTTTGTATGGAAAAGCCCAACGGTAACACTGGGAGAAGGAAAACAAAACAGAAATTGAAAAAAAAAACAAAAATGCACTCGCTTAATCCCTAAGAGAGCAGCGTGCTGCGCCGTTGGCGGAGAATGACAATTCCAATGATGGGCGGTGACCCAGGCCTTGAGCAGCCGGCGCAGCCTGCAGCTCGCTGGCAAAGTGGGCGGGATGTCGCGGCGAATGGAGCAGCGGAAAGTAGACATCCGCCGGCAGCCTGTATGTCTCCCATTAGATTTTCCCCACCAAGAAAGCACCATGCCGCCTTACCAATCAACTGAATGATTCACACGACTTAATCTTACCGCACACAAAGCAAAACGGGCGCGTTGGACTCATTGTCGCCATGGAATTGTTAATATAGAAGCTTGCGCATAACTTTGTGTACATTTCTTATAAATGCTTGCCCTAGAGCTGGGAAACTATCGATGGTACTATCGAGGTATCGACTTTTTCCTTTTTTTGAGCCACCATCGATAGTTTTTTATCACTATCGATAGTACGGGACTATTTTTATATCTCTGCTTTGTTGCTGAAATTTAGTAAGAAAAATGCAAACAAATATATATATATATGTATATATATATTTTTTTTTTTTATAATAAAAATGTATTCTAAATTAACTTAAATTGGAGTTGGTGGTGAAAAATATTAACTGAATCTCAAAAGAAAGGGTGCGTCTACGCCACGTCTTCAGAGTCTAAGCGTATGTTTAGCAATGGTAATACAATTTTATTTGTGCAAAGTTGCTTGGATAGAATATTTATGTTAATTACTTAGTCAAAACATATTGAATAGTATTATAATTCTATTTGAAATTGCTATAACTTTAATTTGCAAAAAGAATCGTAAAAAAACGATACTATCGATAGTATCGAATTTTCGTTTTCAAAACATCGAAAATATCGAATGGTGTCACTATCGATAGTTTCCCAGCTCTAGCTTGCCCTTTGGCACGCAGTGTGGCCAAGTTGGGTAAATCGAAAATTCACTGAAAATACACCAGAGAGAGTGCATATCGATACACACAGCCAGAGGTTGAGCCCAATTTTTATCTGGCAACGCTGGTTTTCTGGGATTTGAGATTTTTTAGGGAAAAGCCATGTCGAACAACTTGCCATTTTCTCCAACACAAAACTTTTCTCTTAAGCCAAGTTTTGCACCTATTTCCTAGCGACACATACAGTGCCGGCCAAAGAGCTAGGGACAATAATCTATTGTCTATTGCCATTTTCTCCAACACAAAACTTTTCTCTTAAGCCAAGTTTTGCACCTATTTCCTAGCGACACATACAGTGCCGGCCAAAGAGCTAGGGACAATAATCTATTGTCTACAAATTTAATTCTTTAAAATAACTTAACTAAAAACACCCCCACCGAAAGTCTCACTTAAATTGGTGCCTACAGATCCTTTGATTATGTATTTTTAGCACGCCACGATATATAAATATATTTTCATTGTTTTGTTCGATAACAATACTCGAAAAACACTTGCAGATAAGAGAATTTTTGAACCGCATTTTCGGTGTTATTTTTAGTAAATACTTTTAACATTTAATTTTGTAATTGTTGTTGTTGAAAACGGCTGCCTGCAATGTAGAATCAACTATTAACGGGCTTTTAACGGCTTTTCAAAAGTTTGAGACACGAGAAAAGTTGAAGAGAAAATCATAAGAAAATCGGCGACAGGCGGGAAATATGTAAATAAATTATGTATTTTTGTGCGTGTGTGTGATGAAATACTTTCGTATGTGTGCTGCTGCTGCTGCTGTCATGGAACACCTGTTCGGCGGATCGTAAACGTAAAATCATAATAAGGATACGGTAAACGGATACAAATGTATATATAGTTGTATATATAGAGCAGATGCGGTGCCAAAAAACGACTCAAAAAGCGAACATCGAGACAGATTCGAGGATGCAAAAAAGAAGGAGAACAGAGAGATGACTCGTTGGCCTGAGGATGCAGCGATGGGGAGAGCGTGGTGGAGGCAGGAAGCGGGGGACTCCCCCTGTTTAGGCGACGGCATCGGTATCACACTCCTCCTCGACGGTGATGTACATACCCTCCTCCTCGTAGGCCGAGTCGTGCTTGGCCAGGATTCGCAGCAGAGGACGCAGGCGCAGCCACCACTGCTTCTTGGGGATGCGCTGACTGGAAAAAAACAAAGAAAAACCAATAAAATATATATTTTTCATGGTATATGTCGCCACCACTCACTCAAAGTTAGTCTCCGCAATGAGATCCACCAGCGGCGAGAAGCGATACTGCCTGGACACAATGCCCAGCAGCGTGGCCGTGTCCGGAGCTTTGCAGTTGACCACTCCGTTGGCATCTATGTTGGCCTTGATCTGGGTGGCCAACCAGTCCACGCACTTGGCAGCCATCTTGGTGCCCATGTTACGATCGAAGGGTGTGGGGGAGCCCCCCTGTTGCATATGGCCCAGGATGTTCATGCGGCAGGTGAACAAACCCTTTCCCTCCTCCGAGTACAGGCGGTAAATGAAGTCCGTGCTGTAATTCTCGCTGGCCTTCTCATTGCGCAGAATCAAGCCGCGGGAGACGCCCTCGGCCATCTTGGAGGCCATGTGGTAGACATCCTGCTGGAGATCCTTAATGGAAAACTTCTCCTCGTAGATGTAGGCAGCATCTGCGCCACCGGCCAAGCCAGCCAAGGTGGCCAAATAACCACAATAGCCGCCCATGGTTTCAATCACAAACACGCGACGCTTGGTGCCCTGAGCCGACTGACGAATACGATCGCAAATCTCCGTGATCTCATTCAGACCCGTATCGCAGCCCAGCGAGAATTCGGTGCCGGGAACATTGTTCGAAATCGTCGAGGGGATGACCACAATGGGAATGCAGAACTGCGGATAGTTATCCCGCTGATCGGCAATCTGGCCGGCGGCATGGTAACTCTCAAAGCCACCAATGATCAGAAGACCCTGGATCTTAAACTCCTTGAGACGAGCGGCAATCTCCTTGAACTTGCCCTCGGGCAGGGTGCGCTTGGTTCCCAAGTAGGCGCCACCCTGGCCCACCCATCCAGAGACATCCGACCTGAAAGAAACCATTAATTTAATAAAGATTCTTCATTATTTTATGTCCTGGAGACTCACCATCCCAGCTCACGCACATTGCCCGCAATGAGGCCCTCAACACCATCATTGATTCCATAGACCACATCGCCCCTGTAGATGGCATTGCGGACAAAGCTGCGCACGGCAGCATTCATGCCGCAGGCTGGAGCTCCAATATGCATCACCGCTAGGCGGTAACCTTCGATGCCCTTGCCATCGGCATCGAAGCACTCCTTGGGCGGCTTCAAGCGTGTCAACATCTTGTATGTCTCCAGATTGCGCTCGAAGGAGCGACCACGCAACTTGACAGCATCCGCCCAACGTTTCTCCTTCATGGCCTTGGCCACCGCCTGAGTGCGCTCCACACACTCCATTAGGGGAACACGCACCGCCTGATTGCCATCCAGAGAAATGACCACCGGCACCGAATCCGGGGTGGCTTCCATGAGAGCCAGAGTGGCCTCGGCGCCCATGCGACAGGCCTGTAATTATTATTTAATTAATTATTAAATTCCGGATTGCTCAGCCAGGGTTTTCCCAAAGTTCACCAAATCTCCGACATTTCACTCACCAAAATACGATCAAAAGCACTGGGATTTCCACCGCGCTGCACATGACCCAAGACCGTGATACGGGCATCGTGCTTGAGGCGCTCATCGATCACCTTCTTCACATCCTCGGCGGTAATGGGATGTCCCTCACGATCCATGGCTCCCTCGGCCACGATAACAATATTCAGGCGCTGGCCAGCCGAACGCTCCTGTTTTGGGATTTCAATAAATTATAATTATTAATAATATATTTTATTTGTAATATATTATTGGTGAGGATGATCAAAAACTACAACAATAGCACAAACAACTGATGAAAATGGAGAACGTATTTTTTTTAGGATGTATTTTATATGATGTGTGCTTTGCCCGTCGATTTCGATTGGTAAAGAATGTTGGACAAACTCAGACGCAGTAAGCTAATGAGGATAGTACGTTTCATAACTAGCTGTATATACTATGATATATAAGTCGATAAGCGGTAAATCGAATTTTTGTTTTATAAATTGGACCAAAATAAAAAAAATAAATAAATTAAATAATTAATTAATTTAAATTTAATTTAAACGAATTTTCAGATATTGATCTATAGTTACAACAAATAAATAACAAACTGCCCAAGTTCTTAAATTTTTAAAAGTATTCAAAGCTATGAAACGCACTGTTTATGAATAAATAACTTTCCGTAAGTAAAACACTCGCACAATCCATTAAAAATCAATGATAAATACATGTAGATGGAGTTTTTACAGATCGATTAAACGAGGATGAGTGTGTTAGGGGAGTTGGGAAAGTTAATAAAGGAGCTCGGTGACATTATGAGGAGCACACACAAAGAAAGGAAAACAAAGAGACCCAAAGACCCAGAAACAAATAAATCAAATAGCTGTTGAAGCTGTTTTTATCGCCATGGAAATATTTGAAAAAAACATCAAAAACAGGCCGAAAAAATAAAGCAAATTTGGAAATTTCAACTTTTTGACCAAGATTAAAAAAGGAGAGTGAGAGAGAGAAAGTAAATTGGGTGTAACTAGCTCGCTCTAGGCCTGACCTGCTGCAGCTTGAGACAAATCTCGTCCTGCCATGTGACCGAAACCGGCTCCTCGGGTATGAACATAAAATCAGCCTCTGTGGCTATGGCTGCCGATATGGCTAAGTAACTAAAAAACAAAAGATTAAATACAAACGGAAATAATAAAAGATGTGTTTTAAATGTTTCGGGTAGGGAAAAATAGGGAGTATTTGGGGTAAAACTTAAGATTAGTTACAATATGATTTGGGGATGCTGGGACAGATAGACATTAACTGTGCAGTTCTCATTCCATATCTCGGGCGGTATTCGTATTCGGACAGAGAGAAAGACATTCGTGTGTGCAGGTAAAAGCGGAAAATAGGAAAAAGCTTTTCTGTATGGCGTGTGTATGGCACCCTAGGGGTGTTCTTTGTAGTTGTTTTTTAAAGAAATAGTACTCAGAAGTACGAATACGCACTACGTATGCTTTTATCTAAAAAAAAAAATAAGGCACAACAGCTGAACTGAGTTGGGTTTGAAGTCTTATTTCACTGGGAATTAATATTCGTGTTTAAATTAAAATTAATTAAAGTGTTAAGACTTTAAAAGACAAATATATAATTTGTTTAGAAAATTTTCATTATTTCAATTTTAATAGGAAGTATTTTTAAAATAGCTTTGGATTTAATAACATTTATTGTGCTAAGAAGTATGCTATAAAAAAGATAACATTGAAATTTCTTCTTTTTTTCATATTTTTAGAGAGATTTTTAATTGATTTTAAAACTATTTCCCTTCTAAATATTTTTTAAAGCTAATTTCATTAAAATGTTTTCTAAATTTTATTAAAATTATATATAAAATTATTTTTATAAACAAAGGAGCTAGCAATTTTTTCCTTTAGCAAGATCAGAGCTCTGAAATGTTCAATCTTTATCAATAAAACGTAAATTTATTTAAACTCTGAAGAATATTACCCCTACGACTTCAAAACCTTTCACCTCAGTGCAACAAGACAATGTTTATAAGATCAGCATCTTGCCTGGGCCAGCTGAGAGCAGAGCCTGTCTGGCCAGTCGACCTTGGGCGGCATTTCGGGAATGAATATGAAATCCGCCTCGCACGCCAGTCCGCCCACAAGAGCTAAATAGCTGCAATAATAATACATTACAAGATATATTAGTCAAAAGGGGGAAAGGGGAGACAACTGAAGGGGATTCTCGGTTACAAGGGGGCGGGACACTAAAGATCGATCGTTCGACAAAAAATATACAATGTGCGCGACATTCAACAGAGATTTCCATTATCTTTTGGGGGCTTGCCTGTTCCAACTTGAGGACAAGTCGATCGGGCCAATCTTGCGGCGGCGGATACTCGGGCAGAAAGACGTAGTCTGCCTCGGAGATAATGCCAGCCACCACTGGCAGATAGCTAGGGATATATGTATTCATATTCAGGTGCAGGTACATTAGCTGAGATCCGCACTTAATCACTTGGACACTTATGCTATTATATCCTGTAAGACTCGTCAACTTACCCGCAATGACGACCCATGACCTCCATGATGAACGTGCGCTGATGTGAGTAGGCCGTGCTGGAAATGGCATCGATGGCCTCAATGATGCGGTGCAGGGCCGTGTCCGTGCCGATGGTCATGTCCGTGCCACAGAAATCGTTGTCAATGGAGCCTACCTGTATGGCATATAAGCATAAATTACCCAGCTCAAGGTTAATATCTTAAAGGACTCCCTACCAATCCCACAATGTGCAAGACATTGAACTTCTCCTGCTGCTCGGTGGTAATGGTCTTGTTCTTCACGAGCTCCTCCAGCAAGCTAGACCACTCCTGACGGAACAGATTGGCGCCAGTGAGGGAGCCATCACCTCCAATCACCACCAGATTGGTAATTCCCCTCTGGATCAGATTGTTGGCAGCCTTGAGACGTCCCTGACGCTCACGGAAGTCCTGGCAGCGAGCGGAGCCAATGATGGTGCCACCGCGATGAATGATGGATGAGACCGAGGCCCAGTTGGCCTCCTGGATACAGTCGCCGCCATCCACCATGCCCTGGTAGCCCTCGCGGATGAAGTACACCTGAGGGGAGGAGGATATTTAATAGGAATTTAGTGGGGATTTTTTATATAAATAAATTTATAAATACATTTTTGGGATTATAGTGTTATCTCAGAGTTTAAATAATTTTCAAGTTCTCGAAAACTTTTTTTAAAAAGATAATAAGTATGAAAATATAAATATAAAGTTAAATAAATAGCAAAATTTAAATAATTTGTAATAAACTTTTATATTGTGTAATTTAGTAAAAATTTTATTTATTAAGAAGAGTTTTCAGCCAGAATTAAACATAAAATTATCCGAAAATGTAATTAAAATGATATAAGGTATTGTAAAAAATGTAAATAGTTCAGTTATTATTTATGTTTTTGTTAGGAATCCAATTATAACTAACAATAAACTAAAAACCATATGCAGTTAATTAAAAACTCATCTTAAAACCACTCTTAGGCAAAACTAGACTACATCTTGAGTTTCAAAGGTTTTGCAGTTTTCTCAAATATTGTGTAAGACTTTAAAAGTGTTTATCTGTATGACATCATCAAAATTTTATTGACAAACCATTTCTGGTGAAAAATAATTTAAATAATTTGCACACTCCTATACCCCTGACTTTTCAATTAACAGAGTGAAAACTACACTCCTGCCCACAATTATACGACACCCCGAAAACTTTAGTTTCGACCCTCGTAGGAAAGTCGGGAAGCATATTACAACAAAATCAAGTATGCAGAATTAAAGCTTATTGAATTCTGCTTAAAATATGATTTTTTAATCTCTGATTGGACCTCCCGTTTTTAAATAGCGTTAAAAAAAAGCAGAAAAGCCCGATTTTAGCCATGCCTGAAACTGTATCATAGCTATACGACATGTTTCAATTATAACGGCTAGAGGTAATTAATTGGTTTCAAATATTTTTTTTTATGTTTCTGGTAATAATTTAATGAATTGGAAATAAAATGCCAAGTGAATGTTTGTTATCCGACGAAAAAAAGGGAAAAATAAGGGCATACAACGATGCTGGCTTTAATGTAAGCGAAATATCACAGAAAATTGATCAAACACGTTGTTTTATCCCATTTTTTTTTAAATTCGGATGAATATGGAGTGAAGCAAAGCTCTGGAAGGATCCCAAGTTGCCCGACCGCCATGAACGTCGCATAATACTTAGATTTAGCTATTCGATTGCTTGGAGCGCCACACTTGCCGCTAGTTGCAGTAAGCCTGTGTCACGAATGACTGTCTGGCGGACACTGAAATCATCGTAGTACATAGTCAGAGTAGTCTTAAAGACGGCTCCGTTCTTAAAAATGAGCTACAAAACAGAATAACTTAAATTTTTAGGAAAAAATCTTGGAGACACTGGGGGTCAGTATGACATTTTAACTTATTTTTGATTATACCGTTTTTTTTCAATATTTTTTAGCTAGATAATTTTTTCTGATGAAAAAAATGTTTATCTTGACGGCCCAGATCGGGTTTGACACTATTGGACAGATTTACATGAGGTTACACTTATTTTTTCAAAACGCTGTTTCGGGGGAGCCTTTCATGCGTCTTAAGCGCTTGATCTGTGCTTCCCAGATCCAAGATGAATAGTGGAGAATACAAAAAAGTATTTCATGATCGTCTTCTAACATTTTTGGAACAACATATGGAAAAATATTATGTTTTTATGCAGCATTCACCAAGTTAGAGAGACCCAGCGCTTCATAAATAATCACAATATAAGAGTTTTGGGTTGGCCACCGTGCTCCCCTGGCTTGAATTTAATTTAAAACATTTGGTTTACTTAAGTCAGGCGAGCTTAGGCCAATAACAAGAAATTTTAGAGTGTCAAGACCCTAAAAAGTGATATTTTGGGTCAAAAGTTTCCATTATACCAATATTTACCTAAAAAGTTTGTTAATTCAATGCCTAAGAGACTTTTTGAGGTTGCCAAGGCTTAAAGTGGCTCTATTAATCATTAAACAATTTTTTATATACCATTATAATTATAAAATATTAAGTAAATCGAAAAAATTGACATGTGTCGTATAGCTATGATACAGTTTCAGGCATGGCAAAAATCGGGCTTTTCTTAGTTTTTTAACGCTACTTAAAAACGGGAGGTCCAATCAAAGATAAAAAAATTATATTTTAAGCAGAATTCAATAAGCTTTAATTCTGCATACTTGATTTTGTTGTAATATGCTTCCCGACTTTTCTACGAGGGTCGAAACTAAAGTTTTCGGGGTGTCGTATAATTGTGGGCAGGAGTGTATAACAAATAAGTTTAAAAATTTCACATAATAAAAGAATAAATAAAAGCATGAAAAGTGCGGCACAATTTTTACAAAATTAGCAAAGTTAATTTAAAATCTAACAAGCTAGTACAATTTTAATGGATTTATAATGTAATATATAAATATTTTTAATCAGAAAATTTTGTCTTTGGCAAAACTAATAAAATATTTATATGCATAATACACAAATTGCCTTTGTCGCACGTCATTATTTTCACTTTCATTGACCCTCAATAAATTGAATTCAAAGAAATAGAGTTTAATCAATTTCAATCAAGAACAATTGCTTAAATATTTGCATTTTTGAGGGCGAAAAGAAGTCTAACAGTTGAACTTAAACAAGATGTAAAAATTAATATAAGATAAAAAGAAAATAGATAAAGGGAAGGCGTACTGATAAAAAGTCGACTATTGGATGCAGTTGAAGTTATAATTAGTATTTATTAAAAGTTATTTTAGTTTTAACGAAGATTGAGAGCTGTAAGCAAAAATCGATTTTAAATCGTTAAATTTTTGTTTTTCCATTACTAATAAACGAAGATGGTTTTTTATTTAATGTAAGCTTTAAAATATAGTCATAGATTGCATAAAAAAAAACGGACAAACAATAGAACCAAATAAATAATCATATTTATATCATATTTACTTTTACTGATAAAATTATTTTTAAATTTATTTTAAAGCTCATCCTTGCTTTCAAACAAATAATACACTTAAAGAGGGTGTAAATAAAATAAACCCAAAAAGAAATTAAGAGCGACAACAACTAAAAACGAAACAAATTAGCCAAAAAGTCTGAGACGAAATCGCATGTGAGTGGCCCGAAATAAACCCAATGTCAATGTGCGCATATACACATATATTTTCTTGATTCGTTGTCGCCAGGAATTTCTTTTTCTTTTCATTTATTTCGGCACCGATTAGAGAGGGGAGATTATCTAACTGGCTTAACACCTATTATTCCCCTCCGACCGGCTGATAAGCCAGTTACTATGGACCTACATCATATAATACGTAAATTTCGGCGAGTAGATGGAAAGGGGTTAATGGGAGATGCTGTCTGCCCCACTGTTAGGGGGTGGAAAGTACTTGACAGAGGTCAACACTTGCCCCACTCGCCCCACACACTGACTTACCTTACATCCCAGGTAAATGGCCATTCGGACACAGGCGCGCACCGCTGCATTCATGCCCTGGGAATCCCCGCCGCTGGTGAAGACGGCCAGGCCCTTATCCTTCTGTGAGCCGCGGGCCAGGAAGCGTTGATTAATCTCCGAATTCATGGTTCTACTTGTTCTATGCACTCTCTCTTTTCGCTATCTGTATCTCGGTTATTAACGGTATATAACGTAACGCACACACACGCACAGCACACACTATCGGTTTTGGGGATAAGGGCTTTGGTTTCCCTGGTTTTCCAAACTATTTCCTCGAGAACCGAGAACTACAGCTGGAGCTGGGCAAATGTTATATCCAAAGTGGCTATAAATACTACTGTTCCTTTCCGCTCTGTTCCGTGGCTTTTCAGTTACTAGCGATATATATTCACGAGTATTCACAAGTTTCGCTTTTGCTTTTGACGTAACCTTGAAACGACCTTTTGGCCAGACGCATACACAACACAGACACACGCACACAGGAACGCGCGGGCGCTATGGCTGTAAGAGTGCGTACTGATGCAATGTCAGCGTTGCGTGGTTAAAATCCTTAGAGCCCGAATTCTCCACAAATTTTACAAGTCTATTAGGTGGGTGTATTGTGTGGGTGAGTTATCAGTTATAAAACACTTTTCGCGAGTCGGAACGAGCGGAAAAAGGCGTTTAAGCAATTGGCTCTCAGTTTGTTTACGTTCGACCCACTTACGAGTTGTGTGTCAGCGGAGTCAGCTGTCGATCAGCTGGTCGGATATGGGCGAGTAAAAGCTCGAAAGCCCGGCAACTCGGCGTAGCTATTTTTTTTATCGATGGGAGCTTTTTTTATCGATGGTTTTCATATACAACGTACAAGGAAACCATCGTGGATATCGGATATCTGTCGATTAATTATTATTAAAATAATAATAATAATAATCCCCTTAGCTGTGTAAATATGTGGTGTATGGAAACTTATTTATCAACTCAATTAGGCCCCGAAAGAGGGGATCGATAAAACAGGTACATTTTTAATTATTAAAAAATTTTAAAGTCAAATTTTCATAATAAAATTAATCACTTTTCTTTAAAAAAAATCCCTTAATCCAAAATCGAGATACAAAAGCTAGACAAGTGCTAGAAATTAATAAAAAAAAAACATAACTTACGTAGGGCAAAATAGGATGCACAAAATCAACAACATCCTGCAATGTTTTCAAACATTTTCTTAGCTCTTCAGGAGTTTCACCACATTTTCTCCTGTTAACACCCTTGATTTTTTCCAGATGCCTTTTATCTTGATAGAAATACTCCTTGCTCAAATCCTTACTTGGTTTGTGTTTAAACAAAATGGACTTGGATTTGTCATCATCAGAGATATTTTTGCAGTCTCCACTGTGAATCCTTCTCAATGGAAGTTGCTCATGGTTTTTGGTGTTTTGGAGAACGGCTTTTTGTTTTCTGAAGATTAAATTAATTTAGGAAAATTTTATTAAAGATACAATACTAAATATTGTTACTTCAATCGCCCTAAAAAAGCCTTTTTTTATTATTTCATTTTAAAAATTGTAGGGCGAAATTTTCTATGAAAAATGTACTTGCAAACCAAGTACAATTAAAAACGTTATACATTTGAGAATAAAATAGGAAAAATAACCCTAAAAATTTGCATTTATGGTGGATAAATATATATCATTTTAACCTCTTTTTTATGAATAAATAAATAAAAATTTTACCTATAAAAAAGACCATGTCCAAGGTGAGTTCGTATGCATGGATGATCAGTCCTGATATGGGTAAACTAGGAAGCAAATATATATACACAAATACATTAATAGGTTAATTACAGATTTACCATTGGGCTTAAAGGAACTCGGTGGCTAGGAAGTCCCGGTAAGAAGTTATGGTATGGCGATTTTCCATGATATTGGTGCACATTTTGTACCAACCGTCCATTTACTTCTAAGAGGCTTCTATAGAGTTCAATAAGATACCTGAATTTGTCTATATAATTCAATCAAGGCTACTTACCGGGTTAGAAATTTAGTTAATACTCGAAATTTGATTGACTGCATGCCAACTGTAAATTTTGGCCCTAAACATAGTACATTTTTGATGTTGTTTTGCCAATTTTCCTATATTTCTGACATTCGAATATCTTTTATTGACTTTTAAATCAAGGAAAACCCGCTGAAAAAATATACTTCGTTTTTTTTTTTTATTATTTATTTAATTTTTGTTTTGTTTTTTTGTTGGTAATTAAGAAACTGTAATTTCAATAAACTTAAATATTCCACTCATACATCAATCTTTGCCTCTGTTATATATGCATACAATTTACGCCTACACCCGGATTTCATTTTTCATCTGTTTTTTTGTCATTTACTCTGTTTTTGGTTTTTCTTTTTGTATGAATGTGTATTGCAGTTCCACAATATTATTATTATTATTAGTTTTATATATTTCTGGGATTTCGACTTTATTAGCGTTGCGGCAAAAAAGTGTTTCATTTATTTAAATATATATATATTTTTTTGTTTTTTGGTTTTATATTCCTCACATTCATAATATAGCGATAAATTCAATTGCGAAAATATACATTTACTTTTATCATACATACATATGTATGTTATGTTTACCGTTTTCTGTTGGACAATAATATATATTTTATCTTGTTTTTCAAATACACATGCAAAGTTGTTGTCTTGTATGTATAAATTAAAAATTTGAATTGTTTTTAGTTCACAATATTTATGTATTTTGATTCAATCTTGTTTTTTGTTTTTAGTATTTCCATAGCTGATTTTTGCTGCAGGTTGCAAAGTGTCGTTATAATTTCGAAGAAAAATCCGCTTCAAGCCGGGGAAGTCAATACAAAAAATGCGTAAAATGTGAGAAAACTATTTGCCAGACGTTTAGGAACAAGTGTGGCGTTAAATTAGAAAATATGAATGTATTTTTTATAAATTTGAAAAAATGTGCAGACACTTTGCGCACAATAAAACTCGTGCCATTAGCCATGTTGCACAGATCGGAAATGAATAAAATTAAGTTACTTCCCCGCGGGCTCTTTCTTCGCTTTACAAAAAATCTCCTTTTCGACAGACAGTTTTTTCGGATATATAAATATGCGTGTATATATGTATGTATTATAATGAGTTATGCTTTTCACAATTGTTTATACCAAGAGAAAACAACAAAGAAATTTGCAATTGTAGATTTTAACCCTTTTTTTTTGTTTTATGTAAGACATGTATAAAAAATAGCAATGAACAATTATTATATTTATTTTTTTTCTTGGTTTCTGTATTCATCCGTTCTCTCCACGATCGATCTCCTCGTAACAGATAATATGGTTCCTGCTGCTGTGATTTATGCCTTTTTGGATTTTTTGAACCAATTTCCGCAAATGCAACCCTGTGTCACTGTTTGTGTGAGTGTGTGCGGGTGGGGCTGGGGGACGAACGAAAATCGAATTCAAATTCAAAATAATAAAGAATAGGAAACTAGGTTTTTTTGGTTTTATTTGTTTAGAAAAAGAATTACAAATAATACATAAGTTTTTGTTTTATTTTTTGTTTGTTTTTCTCATTTGGTTCGCTTGGTTGTTGTTGCTGGTCTTGCTTTCATTCTTTCTGTTCTTGCCATACGAAAAATTCAATTAAATTAATCAATTTGGACTCTTTGCAAAAAACGTATAATAAGCCGAATTATCTCAATTCATTTCTTCTTGTGTATACAGTTAGGAATATTATTTATTTTTGTAAGGAGGAAATCCACAACGAGGCATCGCAATGGCGAGCGAGAAAACAGAGGCTCTAGAGAGTTTCGGGGGAAGAAAAACACACATACAATTACGACGAATTATCTGCTAGATTAATTTGATTCAAAAAACCGGAAAAAATCCCATCGCCAAAACTCCAAGATACTCTGTAACCGCTCGATCCATCATCATTCCGCTGCGATACTGTATTTTTTTCTCTGTATTTCTTAAGCAGTTTGCTGCAGCAGTTTTGCGTCTACATTTTCAGAATCGGATCCGCTGGCACACTCGCCTCTCCTCCAAAGGAGAAGAGGAGCCGTTCCTTCGGCTACAAAAAAAAACTATCCGGAACATCCGAATCCGGAGAATCGTGAGGAAGAGAGAGAGAGTGGCCAACCGAACGGCCTCAAATGAACAGAAGCATAGAATCCTGCTGCTCATCGTCCTCGCTAATTCGTATTCAAATGTATCTTAAATGTCTGTCTGCGCTGCGCTGCTCCGCTTAGCTCTCTTCTCTCGCCTGGATTATCGTTTCACTTCAAATTGTTTTGCTTGCCTGCTGGTTTTGCGTTTGTTTTCTTTCTTGTTTTGTTTTGTTTTTATAATATTTGTTTCTCTTTGTTGGTTTCTGGTTTTGTTTGTTTTTGTATTACTGAATAATATTTGCATAGTCAAAAAGGAAACATTTTTTGCTTAGTTGTTTGGTTAGTTGTCACCGCCCTCCTGTGGCTCATCGCCGTCGCCTTGGGTGTCGGAGGTCCAGAGGGTCAGGTTGTCCCTCAACAGTTGCATGATGAGTGTCGAGTCCTTGTAGGAGTCCTCGTTGAGTGTGTCCAGCTCGGCTATCGCATCATCGAATGCCTACAGATCGGTTTGGAAGTAATCAACGATTATTAAATCGCATTCCCTTGAGGTTTTTGGGTGAAAATTAAAGGAAATGTTTTGTGGCAAGGCGGAATAATGCAAAACAAAAGCATTTTCAAACTTGGCATTAGGATTCGTCATTCGTACATTAATTCTGTATATTTGTTGGCTTCACTAAAAATAATTTGAAATAATTTTAAGCAAAAAAAATAGTGTGTTGTGTGTAAATCAAAATAAAAATGTTTAAAATATTGAAAGAGTCCCACAGAAATTTAAAAGAGGATTTAAAATCATTTAAAGGCTTTCAAAAAGTTTAAAATTCAATTAACAAATTTTATAGCATACTTTTAGACACAATTTTTAAGTAAAATCAAATCCCTAACAATTTCGGTGGTTTCTTTTTTTACCATAGCTACTAAGTAAATACAAAAAATAAAAGTGTTTCACCAGCAAAGGCCGCAAAGGTAAGTTTGTTTCACAGGCAAACTTTATTTGTTTTAATTTCTCATGCAGGGTGGGTACAAGGAGGCGTTTCAGAAAGTTAAGAATCTGCTAAAAGTTGCAAGTTTCCATCAAAAATGGAGAGTTGTAACTTGCTCGGTTTGTTTTAATAACCATTAATCAACAGAGAAATGTGATAGGTAGGGAGCTAAAGCTTTTAAAACTCTTGAAATTTCGTTTTAGTTTTGGTTTTTAGTAAACGCTCTGGAAATCTTACCGTTTTAGTCACAAAACAACATTTGAATTAGTAGCATTTTTTTAAGGGAATTAAAGAGCGGGTTAAGTTATTAAGTATACATCGCAGAAGTGTGAAGTATAAGTTTGAACTGAACCTGTTTAGCTAAGTGACAAGCCCTCGCTGGTGAATTGATTATTTCGTAATAGAAGACGGAAAAGTTGAGTGCTAGACCTAATCTGATTGGATGTGTTGGCTGCATTTTGGTTTTAGCAATATCAAACGCCTCCTGATAGGCTTTTTTCGAGTCCTCAACGACGGCTTTACACACGTTTTACACACGTTTTTTGAAAGTAAAGAAACAAATACCAAAAAATAAGGTTAGAAAAAAACTAAATAACAATCAAAACGATTTTTTGTAATAGTAAATAAATCAATGGAGAATGAGTGTGTCTCGCCGCTTTGCCATTTAAACATTTCAATTAATCTCAGTTTTGTTTCGCTGTGGTATTAACCTGTTTAGCCAATTGGCAAGCTTTGTCTGGCGAGTTCAAAATCTCATAGTAGAAAACAGAGAAGTTAAGGGCCAGACCCAAACGGATGGGATGTGTTGGCTGCATTTTACCCTTGCTAATGTCAAATGCATCCTGGTAAGCGGTTTGCGAGTCATCGACAACGGCTGTTGTGGTTGCAAAATTGGTTTATAGATCGTTGGTTATTATATATCGGGTGTGTTTTTGTTTATATGATTTGCAAGTTGAGTGACTGATACTTACTGTTGCGTGCATCTCCTGTGGCAACCTCGGCTAAATACCTGTAATAATCTCCCTTCATCTTCAGGTAGAACACCTTGCTCTCGGGATTGCTGGCTTTTGGAATAAGGTATTTGTCCAGAAGTCCCTGTACACATAAGCAAACGCGAGTGCTCCAATTAATTTCCATTCAATTAACCAAGAATTAACCGAGTAAGCCCACCTGGTTAAGGTAAAGCTCTCTCTTTTCTCTCCCCCAACACATTTCCATTTCAAAAACCCATCAAAGGCTCAAGCTGAGTTTAATCTAATATAAGAACACCAATCAGAGGGTGATTGGGGGGGAATATATCCAGTCAGTTGCCAAGTTCAACCCTGGGCCGTGGTCTATTTTCTCTGATGGCAATAAATTCCATATACTGTCTCCTTGTATGTGGGGGGGGAAATGGATGGGAAATGCTCCTCTCGTATTCATTTTAAAAATAGATTTATTGATTGTAACAAATTTTATATTTCTCACTAGAGCAGGACGGCACAAGAGCAGAGAAAGTGGGGCCAAGCAAGGTTTTCACACCCTGAGTTGAGGGTGACTTTCATTTATATATACATATTAAAAGACTGACAGGTTCCCAGACTAAACCGTCACCCAGACAAGGTGTGTGTATCAAAAAATAATTAGATGGACCAATTACAACCCCATAAATCCGTCAGAGTCAGAGTCAGAGTATGTAGAGACTTGCGCAGACACTTACCAAAACTTCGTAGCAGATTTCCCGCAGCTCCTTCTCCACACGCTCTCTGTACTCACGGGCGAGCTGCTGTTTTCTAGCGGATGCTTCGGTTTTCTGCTCAATGGAGGAGATGACACGCCACGATGACCTGGTTTATGGGCGACACAACAGAAGAAGCGGGGGATATGAAGCTTAGTCTAATCAGAGGAGAAGGAGAACTCACCTGCGGGCACCGACCACATTTTTGTAGGCAACTGAAAGCAGATTTCTTTCCTCATTTGAAAGCTCAACGCCGGTCTCTGTGACGGATTTCATGGCCTGGGCCATGTCATCGTAGCTGCAATGACAAATAAAACAAATTCCATTAGTCATTAAAATTGCAAAGAAAATAATATAAATCATAGAGAACATAGAGATAAGTTATATCTTGAGGTTGGAAATGCATTTGCAAGACTTTAATCTTTAAAAAAAAATTGCATACATTCATAAATAATAATAATCTGGTAATCTCTCTTCAAGGAATATTATTTTAATATTTTATTTTAATGTGTAATTAAAAAATACATAAATGAATGTATACTAATTTGTTATTTATTTAAATTATTTTATCGAAATTATTAACTTACCGCTCTGATTGCTCGGCCAGTTTAGCCTTCTGGACCAGTTCTTCCTTATCGACTGTCGACATTTTGTGTTTTTTTTTTTTTTTTTCGGTTACTTCACAAAACTAATAAAATACGCCACACACAGTTCGATAATGCCGCTCAAAAGTTGATTTCAAATGGCTTTTTTCTGCAAATAAATTAGAACGTATAACTAAGCATTAGTTTATATATTTTTTTATGGTGGTGAGGCTTAACCCTAAACCGTTATCTATCGGCTTATAGTTCTAAGTAAACGTCATTAGAGAAACACCTGACTTAACAACAGTCTACAAAGACTTTTGTGGCGGATTACCTAGTGCTGTTATTTAGCTTAAATTCCACGACAAAAGCGGATATTGCACAACACAGTTGCAGGCAATGTTAAGGCACTGCGTATTGCTGTTACTCAATTTGCTAAAGGAGTGGGAAATATCACATTTTTCAAGGTATATTAGGCACCTCCAGATTCTACCAATTTATATTATAAATACTTTTCTATAAATTTATTTGAAAATTGGTACAAGGCAACTTTGAGCTTTAATAAAATGATATCTTCGTTGATCTTATTAATAAATGTTTGTAAATAATAATAATAATCCCATTTATAGGGTTTATCAATAATTAAACTTCTATAAATTGATCTTAAATTCGGGATGTGTAAGGGTAAACTAAAATTATTTTCAAGTTTACACAATGGTTAAAACGTTTTTAAATAACTTTAATCTGATTTATAGTTTTAAAAATTGTTAAATTACTATAAATTGATCTGAAATTCAAGACATGGAAACGTTGACTTATAAAATAGCATATCAAACTATTTTTACAAGTTTTTCTTAATACATTTTAGTAGAACTTTACATCAAAACAAAATAAGTTATGATACCTAACTGGGAAGTACTGGTAAGTAAAATTAAAATTATGACTTATGCATTCTCTGCTTATTAGAATTTTGTAATCTTGCAATTCCAAATAACAACCTTCTGATAAAACCCAACTCCAGACAATACTGATATACCCAGCTTGCACTTGCAGACAATACTGATATACCCAGCTTGCACTTGCTATAAATATGCCTGGGTATGACTTGTCGTACAAATTTAATTTGTTGTCATGCTTCCGCCACTGGACGAAAGTGTTGAATTTAAAGCTCCGATGAGTCACGAGTCCGCAGCAGCAGCAGCAGGTCTTTATTGACTAATCGCTGACGGAATTTAAATTTAAAAGGAAAAAAAACCCCAGGCACACACCAGTGGACATGGCCGCGTGCGGCATTCAAACTAACTAAGTAAGCTATGCAACAATTTAAAGCCAAGTTTATGGCTTATCGGAACGGCGACGAACGTAGAGAGTATCTAGCAGATAGATCCAAGAAATACATGTTGTTCGACAAACTGTGTTAAAAATAAATCATGAATAAGAGAGCGGCAAAATAGAGAGATAAAGACAGAGAGGGAGAAATGGAGCAAAAGTCAGATGTCTGAGGAGAGTGTGTGTGCCAAAGATAGATATATATATTTATGTACGTGTCCGTCTGTTTGTATTTTCCCCGTACAGTGACGCACTCAATTATTTTGCCCACTCGGTGAACTTCTATCGATTAAACGTGCAGTAATTATTACCAGCAAAAATAACAAAAAAACCCAGCAAGAAACACGAAAATACGCGACAGTCGCTAAATTATCCCCGCCTCCCACGTAATCCAATTAGAGTCTCTTTGGGTGATAGGATCTATCCAAACTTCCAAACGTAGGATCAATTTCCTGCTTCCTTTTTTTTTCTTCTCTGTTTTTAGAGGAAAGTGAAGGAAAATCGATTAATTTCCGCCCGACCTGGAACGGGCTTGAAAGGGAAATTTCGCAAGGGAGGGGGGAATGAAAATGGAAAAGCGACGGGCGTGTGTGTGTGTGGAAATGCATGTGGGCGCTTCTGCTGCTGCTGTTGGTATTTTTAGACAACTTGCGGAGGCCTCTGGACAAGAAACATTTTGTTTGCCAGCCCACTGTCCCGCCCTGCCCGCAGAAACCACGAAATGCCAGTGCACCGGGCGATGATTGAAATGGAAAAATCTGTTGCCGCCGTCGCCCCATATCGCGTCATGAAACAAGCAACCACCGCGTACCATCCACCCAAAACCCACCGCCACAAATACCGCGTTCAATTGGATTTACAGTCTAGCTTGGCTAACTGGAACTATGGTTCAAACGGAAGGCTAAGAATTGGGACATTATATTTGTCTAAAAGGTAGAACAATTTTTTTTTTTCAAACTGGTGTTATGATTTCGGATAATTCTGAAGCTCCCACACAACAACTATAACTCAAAACTATCATAAAATTTTTTTAAATCAATATATTCTATATTGTAGATGTTACAAAAATTATATTATGTCTAAAAATGCACGGAACTCTTTATAAATATATTTTGTGTTGTACTATTTATGAAGATGTTGCCATATTGGCAATATTTTCAACATTGTTTACTTCAAAAACAAATAAAAATGTATATATCAAGACTTCAATATTTGCAACTGCGAGATACCAGTTTAAGACTCAAAAAGTAACTCAATTAATAGTTTAAAAAGTATTTGAATACTTAGTTAATATTATTAACTTCAAATGCGGAATCTTGTCAAACCTACAGTTGCTCCTGTATAGTCTTAGGTTAATTTGAGGATTAAACTTAACCGAATATTAAGAATTTAAGCCTTACATATCGATTAAAAATGTATTTGTTAATCAAATTTAAAGAAAGATACTTTCAAATATTTAAATATTAGGTCTGCCACGATAAATCGAAATTTAAAGCAGGAATTTTAAGTTTAATTTTTATAAATGATAGAAAAACAAAAATAAAGATTTTGAAAGCTATATAAAAGCTTTTTTTCTTGATAGATTTAATACTATCAAATCCCCAAGAAAAAAAAAGCTATAAGGTTTTAAGCCTGTTTAGGCAATTTCGAGATACAAAAAAAGATTGATGGTTGTTTTCGTACTACGATCGACCGCCAAATTAAAAAGGCATTGACCCTTTGTCCAAACAAAGGCGGCATGGTGTGGGGCGTGGCAAAGGGGTGGATCGCAAGGGAGGTGGGCGCGGCACAATGCCAACGCGTTTTTAGGTCAATTGACATGTTTTTTTTTTTATTTTGTGGGGAATACCAAAACATTCAGCCAGGCGTAACGTAAATTAACAAAACACTCCCCAAAATGGGCAACAAATGTTTGTAGTTTTTTCTAATTTGTCACAAAAACTTGTTCCATCCACGCAGAAAGCCCAAACAATATTGCTCATCTGCTTGAGTTGATAAATTAATGGAAAAAGGGCACCACTACAGGTGGGCACAGGCTGTGATACATTTTAGAGAGCTGCTGCTGCTGCGACGGCCGCAGCTAGTAAGTAGTGTTAAATCTAGAAAACCCATGGGCAAAATTTTACGATGACGGAACTTTAAACTTTATCGCTGCGCAAGTGTGTGAGAGTGTCAAGAGTGTGTGCCGGGCCAACCAACGGTGAATTGGCCACAGCATGCGCAGTAGCTAAAAAAAAAGCCGATGATGTAGAAATTCCTCTACATTTGCAGACCCACCACACCACCTTCTCTACTTGGGGCAACAAAAAGTTACTAACTTTTATTAGTCGAGAGAGAGTGTGTGTATGTGCGTGCGTGTGTATGGGTGCGTATTGCGTTCTGGGTGGTGATGGTGGGGCAACAGCAGCAGCAAATCGTGTTTCCAAGTGCGGCGCTACAGAATTATAAAAATAATCGGGGAGCAAGGAGGTGGAAGAGAGCGCGGAGGAAAGCCGCTCTCCCACAAATACACTGGCATAAAAACGCCGCTGGCTGAGAGACGACGAAATGTATCTACCAGAGCGGCCGCCAAGTGTGGTAGGTTTCTGGGGAGAAACACACCTAACCGCGTGTCCAAGTAGATATATAATACATATATTATATTCCGCTGCGTACTGTGTAGATATTCAGGCATATAGAGCTGGCTATATATACGTATATATAGAAGTCGACTGCCGCCTACAACTTAACCGATGATGAGCTGATGAAGATGACGGGAAATACGAAGCTACAAGCGAATCTCACCGCATCACCTACACACATGCACCAATACTCGGTCAAATCGGGAATGTTCTTTTATTTCTTCTTTCCTTCTGTCCATTTCTTCCTCTTTTTTTTTTTTTGCACAAATTCACACTTTTGACTTTTTGCGTAGAACTTTTTTCGGGGTTTTGGGATCGATTTTTCCTGTGAGCCGAGTATAGATGCATGGAATGGTGCGACTTTACACGTGTTTTCCCTTTGATTTTTAGCAATATTCCCGTTTTGTAATTCCAACACTCACAGGCGCACACCACACTCAGATACATAGATACAATCTGGCCAGCAGCAAAATTCTGTTACTTACATTCTCGAGTAACTGAAACTGAAACGACAACGAACGAACACTACCAACGAACGAATGAGAATGACGGAAAGGTTGATACAGTGTTGCAACCCTTGGTCACTCTGAACTTCAAAGTAAAATGTCAAAACAAAGTTTTACATGCTTGGGGTCGAATTCTCGTGTCGAATGTAGAGTGTTCGAGAGCGAACAACATAGACTTCGGCAGGCTTCGGCAGCACTTCGGCTCCGTTGCAACCGAACCGAGAGAGAATGTGTTCGACGAACGAACGAATGAGAATGACGAACGGATACACTCGCCGCCGCTGCCGCTGTATCTGTATTTTTGCCTCGCGCACGCACACAGATGCGCCGCCGCAAGGAGAGCGAGAGAGAGCGAGCGACTTTTTCAGGGTTGCCAACCTGCCGGCGGCAGTAAAGTTGCCAGGTGTGCTGTGAGTGCAGGTAAAATTTAAAAACGCAAACTTTTATTTCCGAGCCACCACCACAAAATAAACTCATTAGCAACCCTCTGGCTGGACCGTAAGCAAAAGTTAAAGCTTTCATTGTTTCCCGTTTCTGCGCATTTACCCTTCAAATTGTCGTTAAGTAATATTCGTCAAGTTGCCAAGTTAGTTTTTCCAACCTGTTGAAACTTACGAGCGCTTATCTCGGCACCCAGATTACGCTTTTATCTAGACTTTATGATACTCCGCAAGGAGGAAACTAATCGCGAGATGTATGCCATTGATAAGGGGCGGCGGTAAATTGCCTTAATTCTAATTTGGATTTCATTGAATTCGGGCGCGCACACATATAAAAAGCGAGATATCAGCGCCACTTATGCTTTCTAGCAGAGGTGGGCGCATGCAGGAATTGGAGTAATGCAGCTATATTTAATATTCAATTCAATATTCTAGATTTTTTGTTTATCATAATTTTTTCAATAGAAATAATAATTATTCTAGAGAATACGATTTTTGAATCGGTATTTATCAATATAAAAGTTACATTTCAACAAAGTTCAAAATTAAGAAAACGGGCAGAAAATTCTGAGATCAACAAGTTAACTGAAAGTGATTATTTAAGCCAGAGTTTTTTATAGGTAACTCGCGAAAATAATATTTAAAAATCTATTGTATTTACTAATACAAATTAAGTTTGCACATTTCGTATCACTGGAGTAAAAGAATTTATTGTCGTGACTCGTGCTTGTGGCGTGCGTGAAGCTTTTCTCACGCGCACATCTCTACTTTTTACTACGCTCAGACGGAGAAAAATTACGTCATCGGCGTCCTATTTGCCATTGGTAATGAAAAACGACTTTTCCGTTTGCAGTTACATTTTCGCAATGCGAAATTCGCACGCAACACATATTGAAAGCCTCAGGGCGGCGGCCATCCAATTAGCGGCCCTCGAAATCAATAAATGTGTGTGTGGGCGCAGTTATTTGTTGCAAAATTTCGGGTTTCGCCGACAATATGGCGGCGCAAGGTGAAATTACTCACTGCGCCTGGAACTTTTGGGTCGGAATTCGAAGATCGATTTGCTCCAGCAGCACTCAACACTCTTATTTTAATTATTTCACTAAAAACGGAGCAACAAACTTAATAATTAGTTAATTCACCTTCTTACGGACCGTGTGACCCTCGACAACTAAAGAGTTTTTTCCTTACTACATTTGTTCTCTTCTGGCCGAGTGGTTTTTTATTTTTTGCGGTGGCTGGTCATACTTGTCCCAGAAAGCACGCAGGAAAACGTAATCTTGTGGTGGGGAACTTAGCTTAACGAAAACGTATTACTTGGAAAATTTGAACTTATTTATTGGTTTTAACAAACTATATTAGGGGTTTCTGTTGTTCCTAAGATTTTTGAATATTCGTGCTTAATTCACGCTATTTTCTTTTAATAAAAGCCTAATTAATTATTATTTCTTTAATAAAAAACGTAACGTTATCGATATCTTCTTGCACCATCTCTAGCAAACCGCACGTGTTGACTTGTTGTGTGGGAATTCTTTTCTTGGTTTATAACTTAAAAACTCGTTGATTTAAGCACATTTAGCCATGCCGCGCTCCAAACGTGATAAGAAAGGTAAGAGTTTATATATTCTCTTAAGGTTTTACCCTACTAAACACTTGTATTCGTTTACTTTTAGTTTCCCTGACCAAAACTGACCGCAAGGGTCTGGCATGGAAACAGCGAATTGTGGACGACATTCGCTTTTGTGTGGAAAAATACCCAAATATATTCGTGTTCCAGGTACAGAATATGAGGAACAGTTTGCTGAAGGATCTGCGACAGGAGTGGAAGCAGAACTCCAGGTTTATCTTTGGCAAAAATCGAGTGATGCAAATCGGTTTGGGACGCACCAAGAGCGAGGAAGTGGAGCCGGATTTGCACAAGGTAAGGAGCTCTTTCAAGGGTTTAAAGCTATTTCTTATACTTGCTTATGTGTCCAGCTCTCCAAGCGCCTCACCGGCCAGGTGGGTCTTCTCTTCACGGACAAGTCCAAGGAGGAGGTTCTGGAGTGGGCCGAAAACTATTGGGCCGTGGAGTACGCACGCAGTGGCTTTGTGGCCACGGAGACTGTCACCCTGCCAGCTGGACCCCTGGAGGAGTTTGCCCATTCCATGGAGCCGCATCTGCGTTCCTTGGGTCTTCCCACCAAGCTGGAGAAGGGCATTGTGACCATCTACAGTGATTACACCGTCTGCGAGGAGGGCAAAGTGCTGACACCCGAACAGGCGAGAATCCTCAAGCTGTTGGGCAAGCCCATGGCCAAGTTCAGGCTCACAATGAAGTGTTCGTGGACCAAGAGCGAGGGCTTCCACCTGCACGTCGAGGATGATGTCAACGATGAGGAACAGGCCGATAGCGCCATGGAAGAAGAAGCCAACGAGGCCATGGATGACAACGATGAGGACGAAGAGGAGGATGATGAATAAATTAGTTTTAGGTCTAGAAATAATTTTGTATGTATATATTAAATAATGCAAATATATATATACAACGTATATTTTTTTAACATATATAAACTATATATTACCTTACGTTTCACTCAGATAATACTCGATTAATCATAGCTTAGACTAGGTAACTAAGTAGGCAAAACACTTGAGAAGCATTCCGGATATATTGCAACTAATAACCAAAAGAAGAAGCCGTTGTACGATGTCAAGGAAGAAGGCACGTTCCTATCAAGTTCCGTCGTCGGAGAGGATGTACAGCACCAGTGGCTGATCGTTTTCGTTATCCTCCTCCTCCAGTAAATCGCTGCCGTTGAGGGAGAGTTCCGGCGAGCCTCCAGAGGTCTCCAGCTCCAAGGCACTTGTGGTGGCCGCACTAAGGAAGAGCTCCAGTGGCATGGACTGCTCTAAAAGTTGACGATTCGTTGGATTATCATTGTCCAGTGCCGCCTCCCCATCTTCCTCCTCCTCATCTTCCTCGCCGCCGTCGTCATCGTCGTCCAATTCCTCACCAGCTGACAACTCCAACGGCTCCGCGGCGGCTATGTCCAAATGTTATTTGTCCGTCAGCAGAGCGCCCGTGGGATTCGAGGGCACTGTGCATCCGGCGGCAATGTGCTCCATCACCTGCTGCTTCAGCTGCGCCACATGATCCTTGAGGTTCTTCACAATACCAGCCAGATCGATGTTCTCGCCCTTGAGGATCTTGACTCGATCTTCCAGCTTCGAGATGCGCTCCAGCTTGCGCTTGCGGCACTTTGAGGCTGCCACACGGTTCCGCTGCCTCTTCCGTTCCAGCTTAATCTTCTCCTGGGTCTCCATGTCGATGGGACTGACGGTGGGTGAGCCAACCGGATTTTGTGGCTCGTCCTTGATGATGAACGAACCGTTGCCCTCGTTGGCATAGGTGAATGTACCGCCACTAATACCGTTGTTCACGGCAGTAGCTGTGGAGCCCACGGCAGCAACGGCGGCGGCGGCAGCAGCAGCCGCAGCAGCAGCTTGGCTTCCGGCGGGAAAGGCCTGCGAGTTGGTGTGCAAATTCTGAAGCGCCTCCTCGAAGCCCTTGCCGAAGGCCTCCTGCTCCACGGTGACGGGACCCACTTTGGTGGGAAAGACCTTGCCCGGCTGCGGAGTCTGTATGAGGTTGTTGGCCAGTATGATCTCCAGATCGGGTGTATTCAAGGTCTTGGCCTGCAGATCCGGAGAGTTGATGACCAGCGGAGCTATAATCCGCTTATTCTTGGCGCCCTTGCTGTTCAGGTCAAGGAAGCCGGGACGTTTGTTGGGCGTGGAGGTGCTTAGGCCGGGCGTTTGGAAATCCAGCGACATGGGGGCGGCGACAACACCTTCTTCACCGACGGGCTCCGTTTTAGGTATGATCTGGACGGTGTTTGAAACCGAACTGCTATTGGCAGCAGCAGCAGCGGATACGGGGGTTTTCATGCTTTTGCGCCCAAGTAATGACGTCAGTCTGTGATTTCCAGCGAAAAACGAGAGGAAAGGCAAACAACACACTCTGATAAACTCGTTTTAGGTCCGATGAGTCATGCGAATTATCTCGCCATACACACATATATACATACACACATACAAATACTCACCAGAGGCAGAGGGGTGGTGTTATTCTCGGTACGTGACCCGTAAAATACGACGGAAGTTGGCGGTACTTGTTTATGCAATAACTGCGACTCAAATTCTCTCTGATTACTCTTGTTTTATTACACACTGGCCGGTTTATATTTGGAAGTTTGTTGGTTTATTTATAAAAATAAGATTACGCCAGATTTGTGTTTTGTTGCTGGCAAGTGTGACCATATAGTACGAGACGGAGAAAACTTTATGTGTGTCAAATTAGTGACGGTGAGTTAGCGTCGAAATGGAACGGTGGAAAAATGGAACACTAAAGTATTTTTTATTTTTAGTTTATTTTGTTAATAAAGTTTATAACATAAACCACTTTACCTTAACTATTGATTTTTACTGTGTTTCTGGTACCGACACTAATTTGACGCATATGAAAAACAAAAAAAATTTATAGGAGGCCAAAGACGACGATTTAATTTATACTTAAGTGTATTATTATATAATTATGGGAAAATTATGTTAATAGCTTTTATTGTTAATAAACAATTAAAAAAAAATAATATTTTTAGATTGAAGACGATACATTCATAAATTTGTGTAATGATGCGAAGAAAAACTAAATTTAAATATTTATCTAAGGAAAAAATTTATCATTTAAAAAAAATGTAATAAACTCTATTAAGTAATTAATAAATTACAATTATTTTAGTAATTAAATTAAAATCCATAAAACTATCCATTTATTAATTATTTTAAAATAAAAACACTTCTTCCCTTGATTAATTGATTCATTTTATATTTGTATATTGGTGTTATTTGTTACACATATAATATAATTGCTATTGACAGCGCACATTAAGCTCTCTACTTAAAAACAAATTGAACAAAGTAAAGTGTATTGATTTTGCTTTATTGTTTTCGCTCTATTTTACTTTTTCAGCGTTGGTTTTTTCTTAATTTTTTTGTTTTGTTTCGTTTTTTCTTATTTTTATTTTCTAATTGTTAAATTTCTCATCACCACCTATAGATTGAAAATATGTTAATAGATTGTAGTACACAATATATAGTTAAATATATATAGTTTCAGGTATCAATTGGAAAATATATGAAAGAGTTGCGTCTGCAGGGTCAAGGGAATTTTTCAACACATCTAGATTGGTATTTATTGAAGTTACACATTGCAAGCTTTTGATTGCAAAAACAAAAATGAAAGAAACTAATTTACGAATAACTTAAGGAGAAAAAGGAAAAAGAAATCTATTAGAATGCAGCTCATATCGTATCACAGGCACGCTTTAATTAGACACTCTCTGAAGAAACCGGAAACGGAAATGAAAGCAAAAATTAAGCAACTTTTAAACTCTTTCTCAAACTCACTTACTACTAACAACAACGATCGATATGAGCGCATATGTACTATAATATATATCCTTCAACATACTCTTCTCTTTGCTTTTCCTTGCCTAAATACTACGATTCCCCCAACTTGTTTTTCACACACAAAATTTGCTTGTTAAAATTGTTGATTAAACGTATATATATGGTACATAAATATATATTATATATTTATATATATCGCACATTTATGGTATTGCTCGCTCCTTATTATCCTTCTCCTCAATGTCTGGACCCCCAAAAAGATGTGACATCTAAAGTTAGCTATTTCCTTGCTGATTTCTGATTTCAATTGCCTTTTTCAACGTTTTTCTTACGAAAAGAAAGTTCTATAAATTCAAAAATAAACCTAAAATGGAATACCAAAGAAAAAAATAGGGAATTTGAAAGAAACTAAGCTTAGTTAATAGTTTAAACAATAACTAGTAAAGCAGCTGGGAGTACAGGAGTTTGTTTCGCCTCCTGCCATCCGGGTTTGTATTCGTCTTCTCCTAAATCTTCTTCAGCCTGCTGCTCCTCCTCTCCTGCTGGATCCTCCTTCTCTCTTTCTCCACCTACAATTGATATCTGGGCCACTCCCTTTGCTGCTGTTGCTGCCACTTGTCCTGCAGCTGCTTGCATAGGCGACGCAGCAGCTCAATGGTGGTGCCGCCCAGCGCCTGCAGTAGCTACTAAATCCTGCTGCCCGTACTCTCCTGTCGGGCACTATAACGCGGCTCTGCCGGCATTAAAGTATCCGTGACCAGTTCATTGGGTGCCTCTAGTACACCCTTGGCATGGGCTGCCGCCGTATCGCAGTCAGTGCGTCGTGAGATCAGCAAGCGGATGTCCGTGTGCAGGGATAAGCGTCCAGAACGGGAGGTTTGGAATCTGTTTAAAAATATTAAACAGATTAATTTTATAAGAAAAATCTACAGAGAAACTAATTATACCTCAGGTGTATGGAGTAGCGCAATCTTTTCATTTGCTCGGCGGTTATAAAGTGTCCCAGCTTGCTGGTGGTGCTGCTGGCCGTTGGACTTCGAGGCACTTGCTGGGCAGGTTTACCGGTTTTATCCTCTTCCTCATCCTTGCCCAGCTCCTCGGCTAGGATGCGCTGACGTATAAAAGTGCGATGTAGGGCTGGCATATCGCGCATATCGTAGGGAATCACAAACATACGCACTACGGTGCCCATGGGATTCAGGAGAGTGGCCTGGACAGTGCCCGTACGCGGCACCGAGTATCCCTTGCGAGGCAAGCGAATTTCACACTGGAAAAAAATTTAAATATAAATTAATTAGAGTTCTCTTGGAGCTCATAGTCTACTAACCAGGTAAGGCGTGCTTAGGGTCTCCCCTTGCAGCTCATAAAAATACGACATGGCCGGTATGGTCAACTGTGTGGGGCAGAATCCTCCCGAGGCTCCCAGCTGTAGCTTGAAACCCATCACCTCAATCTTGGGCATAAGTCGCCTTTGCAGCAAGGACTCCTCCAGGTTACCCAGCAAAGGACGTCCTGCAAAATGTGCTGCCAATCTAGCGCGACATTTTAGAGGAGAACCACCTGCTGCCGGACTGCACAGACCCGACTCTAGATCCTCATCCGACAGCTGCTCATCGGAGCCCAAAGAGCTGCGATCACTGCGATCGCTCAAGTGACGGGATCGCCTTTTATGTGCCGCCAAAGCTTGCTTGGCAAACCTCGGCGAAACGGAGAGCGAGGCCGCATGTGGCAGAGTGGGAGCCGAAAAGGATTTCTGCACGGGCGGTGTATTACCTGTGGCCTCAGGTGCTAGAAGCTGCGAATGGGCATGACTCAAGGCAGCAGGATCAAAGCTAAATGCGGGACATCCTATGGCTATGGGCGCTGAACTGCAAAAGATGGTCGAGAGATTGACCTTGGGCAGGACACCTACGCCAGCACCCTTTCTCATCAGCGGGGAAATGCTGCTGTTAGTAGGAGGCGGTGGGGTTTCCATATCCCCCAAGCCACTGCCACAATTCAAACGAAGTTGACTGGGTTTTGGCGAGGACTTTTGCTGCTGCTGCTGCTGGAGGGGTACCATGGCATCGGGTTGCGGTTTCGCTGGCACTTGGCTCAGCGGCGTCTTGAACTGCACTACCATGTGATCATCCACCGGTGGAGGAGGGGTCTTGCAGCCTCTTTCTAAGGAGTTCAGGGAGCAGCGTTCTATATTAGGCGTTAGCTTGGTGGTTTTGATTTGCTCTTCTGTGGGCTGCTCTGCTGCGTTTTCCTGCTCTTCCTCCTGAAGCATGCTGACAAAGCCATTCCCTTGGTCACCATTGGTCTGATTAGATTTGGGCTCTCGGCCATTGGCAAAGATATGCTGCGTTTTCTGGCGCTTGCACACCTGACATCCGCTGATGGTGGCCGCTTTCAACAGGTTATTGTTCTGCCCACCACTGAGATCTGAGGGAGTTGCTTCTACCGGCTGACCGGCATGTGGCTTCCGCTGGCGATTCTTTGGCGTTCGCTGTATGGCCTGAAGCAGCAGCTCAGCCTTGTTGCGTGGCGTGCCCACAATGAGATCACCGCTGCTGAGGCTGCACGAGGAGTTGGTCTCCTCCATTTCAGAGGCTGTCGTATCCGCATCACTATCATCCTCTTCTGGCTTTGCTCCTCCAGTGCAGCTGAGACAGAGTAGGGTCTTCTCACTGCCACAATGCTGACAGCTGCTTAGGGAGGTCTGTGTTCCCGTGGAGATCATGGCTATGCGACGCGGTGGCTGCTGCAGGCTCAGGGCCAGGGATTGCGACTCGGATTGTGAGGGCGATGGAGACTCTTCGCCCTCCTCCATGGGTTCTTCAATGGGTTGGTGGTGTGGCTGCTGCCTCTCTGGGGAGTTCTTTCTCTCCCTCTTCTTATCCCGCCGCTGCATACGCTTGCGATACTTTTGCAGCTGCCTCTCCCTATGGCTTAGGCTCGTCTCCCCATCGAGATCATCTAATCCTTGCTTTAATCCATTATTATCACAGTTGGAGCTGCCGGTCATCGTCGTCGTCGTTGGGCTACTAATTGCACTAATTCTGGCTCCCAGACCCGTGGGCGTGGCCGCATGTAGGCCACCGCCACCGGTTGGTGTGCTCGCTGGGTCTCCGCCGCAGGTACGCAGGCTGCGTGGCGCTGGACTGGGACTAGGTAAGGGCTCTACATGCGGCAGGCCACCATTAATTCTGGGCAAACTTCTTACGCACACGGAAATGCTATAGCTTTCCGAGACATTGACGTTGGGAAAATTATGGACATTGGCCTTGGCACTGAACCCATCCTGGTATTGCCCTCCTCCACCGTTGCCAGCGTTGGCATTGTGCTGCTTAATCCTGTAAAAGATATTCAAGCGAGGTCGCCTCTGGCCACCGCTGGGCGTACAGGTGGTGGCCAAATCGCCGGCATTGTTGCCACAGCTGGCAAAGATTACACGTCCGCTGTCATACACAGAGGGATCGCATTTGCGGAGCAGATCACACCAGGCTACAATCTGGGAGAAGTACAGCTGACTGCGAATGGCGCTGCACAGCGATGGCAGTGTCATCGTGGGCGGTGGAACTCTGAAGTGGGATAGGAATGTTAATTACATTTTTATACCCTTGCAGGGTATTATAATTTCAGTCAGAAGTTTGCAACGCAGTGAAGGAGACGTTTCCGACCCTATAAAGTATATATATTCTTGATCAGCATCAACAGCCGAGTCGATCTAGCCATGTCCGTCTGTCCGTCTGTCTGTCTGTCCGTCTGTCCGTCTGTCTGTCTGTCCGTCTGTCCGTCTGTCTGTCTGTCTGTTTCTACGCAAACTAGTCCCTCAGTTTTGAAGCTATCTGAATGAAACTTTGCATATAGTCTTCTATATGCTCTCACTGCTATATATGTCGGAACGGGCCGGATCGGACGACTATATCATATAGCTGCCATACAAATGTTCGATATATTTTTCGAAAAAAAATTATAACTTTGCTGTTTTTCAACATTTTTGCACCATTTTCAAGATATGGCCATTTTATATTATTTCTGAATTTTGGTAAAAATTTTATGAAAATCGGACGACTATATGATATAGCTGCCATAGGACCGATCAGGAAATTAATAGGAAAAAAATTATAGCTTCGTTGTTTTTCAACGTATTTTTATCTACTCTGAGATATAAGCTTTTTTTATTATTCTAGAATTTTGGTATAAATTTCATAAAAATCGGGCAACTATATCATATAGCTGCCATAGAAGCGATCGGTAAATGCATAAAATATGTAAAGCTGGGAATGTAAAACGGTAACTGTCAAACTGTAATCATAATAAGTATAGGTAAAATGGAATGAAACTCTATAATATAAACATCAAAACCAATCTGCAAGGGTATACAAACTTCGGCGTGCCGAAGTTAGCTTCCTTTCTTGTTAAATATATTTTAGTTAAAAATTAAACTCACTTTTCCTTGCCGCTGATGATCCATTGCTCCAACAATAGCTTGTGGGTCACGGGACCCAGGTAGACCTCTATGCAAACGGGTTCACGTCTGGCCAGGATGGCCTCCATTTTCATGCAGTAAGCACGCCAGCGATTGCACTGAAAAAAGGGAAAAATAAAGATATTATGTACTATATAAAAAAGTTTTTGTTACTACTTAATAAGTTATAAATATATAGAAATTAATTGACATTAAGTATATAATTTAGCTTTAAATATATAGTAATTAATTTAATTGAAATATAATTAAGCCTTAAAATTTTAACTTAAATATCATTTTAAAAACCCAAACCCAACTCTAAAAACATTCATTGTCTTGCCTGATGACTCGAGTGTGTCTATTAATCATTAATTGTTATTGTGACTAAGATTTTTTAATAGGGAAAAAAAGAAAAACAAAACCAATATGATTAAGCCTTAATTGCACCATAAAATAAAACACAGATAAAGCTATTTCAATCTATAGTTTATTATAGGTTTTCCAGACTTTCTGGAGCTACACAGGTTGTGGTCTTTGAAAGGCACTATCTATGAGTCTCTTGACTTTTCTAATCTTCAAGAAATAATGCAAAGTCACCAGAAAAACAAATAAGTCATGCAAAATTACACAATTTATGAGGAGAAAAGTAGAATTTCTGAAAATTCTGAAAATATTGTTAAAAAAAAAATTAAAATTAAGTAGAATTTAAAGTTTGATATTTTAAGAAAATTATATTAAACTTAGTTTTAAATTTAAAATAAAGAAATTTACTTAAAAATTACCTTTTTTTAATTACGATAATAATTAAAGTAATTAACATTAATATTTATATTTTAACTCCCCCAACTTACGGTCATATTCACGTAGGACATATCACAGATGTGCTCCTCAGCCTCCGATGGCATCTCGCCCTTGGCTAGACCCATCTTCCTGAGGAACTGATCACAGTGCGGCCCATGTTTGGGCCGCGATGCAGAGCTACTTGCTCCGCTGCTGGCAGTGGCAATAGTTGACGCTCCACCTCCTCCTCCTCCGCCTGCTGCTAGTGCTGCTGCCGCTCCGCCTCCCACTCCTCCTCCTGCTCCTCCACTCGAAGCCACCGATCCCGTCCATATAAAAGACAGATTGAGAGGCCTTGGCTCCGCAGGTGGCGGTGCTGCCAAGGCTGGGCCACCGCGCAAGCAGGTGGTGGCCAGGGATTGTAGCGAATGGAGAATATTATCCGACGAATTGGATCCCGGCGAACTGGCAGCACTCGAGTTATTGCTGTTGCCTCCCACACCAACGCCACCAGCACCACCCAGACCTCCGCCGGCCCGATTGAGCATAACACGTCGCACAATCTCATAGTCACCGCCGTGATCCTTGTTGAGATCATTGATGGCTAGGGAGACCAACTCCGGCTCGGCACTCATCGCCTGGGCAGCAGGCGAGATCTGACGCAGCTGGCAGAGCTTCTGCGTCCAGCGCTGGTGGGTTAGGGAGCTGCCGCTGCTACTGGTCGAGGCACCACCTCCTCCGCCTCCGTTTCCTCCACGATTATCCGATCCTCCCATGGAGCCATAGGGATTCGTTGTAATATTTATGGCCGCTCTCGAGGTGGAGGGTCGCGGTGAAAGGCGTCCTCCCCCGCCAGTTGTGGCTCCACCCGACCCAGGTTGCTGATGATGCTGCTGCACCATGTACTCATCATCTGCAATGGGTCTGCCCTCCAGGATAAGCGAGGCCAGGCCCAGCACAAAGGAGCTGTAGTTGTTTTGAGCTCCAGGAGCTGAGCTTGAGCCTAGGCCTATGCCCACGCCCATGCTGCCGCCGCCGGTACCTCCTCCTGCTCCATTTCCAGCTGCCGCCGTGGCCGAGCCCAATGAGGCAGCTGCTCCATTCTGGCCCAAGCCCGCTTGCGGCGGTGAATTGGTGACACTGGTGGGTATCATGGTCGGTTGTCCCGCTGGCTGGAGATCTGGCGCTGATTTCGTTACCGGTTTCCTCTAGCTAAGCTGCTGCTGTTGCTGCTTCTTGCACCAGAAGTACACTGGAAGAAAGGGGAGAAGAGAAAATGTTTTGCCTATAAAAGTTAAAATTACAACCAATTCTATATTTGTTACCCTCTTTTATATATATATAAATATTAAATATTATAAATATTTAATATATATATATTAAATATATATCTCTTAATATTGTGTAACAACTCATTAAATTGTAAAAACCGAAGTTATATGCCATTAACTAAAGCTATAGAAAAAGGGAAGTTGTTAAGAGTGATTGTTATCTATGGAAACTATAGGAAACGTGGGAAATTATATGCCATTATATTAAACAACATGAACGTGAAAAAATATGCATCTAAAGTTGAGTTAATAAAACTATGCAAGTCTTTAAATTGCAGAATGCTAAATTCAATAGAAACTGTGGAAAATCTTTGGTAATTATTCAAAGCAATTATATTTTGCAGAAACTGAGAGGTGTTACAGGTCTTTATTTATTTAAATTGGAATTTAGGAATGTGTAAGACCCTGGAAAATAAAAGGATAGTTTAACCTTTTAAGCATTCATAAAATCTATAAATAGCCTTGACTTCATTGCAAAATCGGCAAGGATCTTTATATCCGTGTATAGCAACAGCTGCTATACCTTTTTCTCCTCCTTCCCCTATAGAAATGCAGCCTCCGAAGGTCGTCGAGAGCAGCCAGGCTCAACTTGAAATGAATCCCCCCAAGGTCTGTCCGTCTCTATGCACTATATACTATAAATATTACATAAGATGACATGGTTTACTTTACGAGTAGCACATTATATACCCCACTATATATCCTTCCGATGCGGAAGCAACCTCAACTCGATGCCACTCGGCAACAAAAGGCAACACAACACAGAGAATTCTTGGCCAATTTGTTGTTAACTGCGACACACTGACACGGCCCCGATTTAACCTGAAATCGTGCTTAGCTATAGCTGCTAGCTATGAGATACATATGTGTACATACATAGGTATACATGCTATATGCAGCTGGAAACCAGGTCGTTACTTAACCGGAGAGACCCAGTTATGGGGAGCAACATGTCAGCGCCGTTTGGCAATGCACAAAATGCATCTACCGCACGCCTGCTCAGCCACCCCCTCAGAAAAGAGACGAGAAAACAGTTTGCTAACAAACAACATGTTGCCAACGTGCTGCTGCTACGTGACGTCATTGAGCCAAGCTTTGCAGATACTGTATCTGAAAATGTACGTTAGTGTTTGTGTATCTCTGTGGGGTTTTTGAAGGTCGTTTTGGGGCAACATCCCACGCAGAAAGACACTCTAATTGAAAGGTAGTTTAATTTATTATAAAAATTTGGAAATATGAAATTGTGTTTAATATTGAAATAATATTGAAAATATGTTTAATTTATAAATTTAAAATACTTAAAAAATATTTGTAATGCGTTGTTTATGTTTTCTTTGGACAGATACAATTATTATAATTATTCTTATTCTTCCATTCCAAAAACAATAAAAATCATTATAAAATCCATAAAAATAATTACTTTTCCATTCTCCAAGCTCTTCTTCTTCGACTTGCCTTTTCGCAAATTTATTTGTTGCTTTCAGTTCGTTTTCTGTTGCAAAAAAGCCCCGCTTGGCAACAGCTATTCGCGATTTGCAAATTAAAAACGAAGAAAAACAAAAAAAAAAAATCTAAACCAAATTAAAAAACAAACAAACACACAAACAAACACAAATGCAGACATGCACAGAAAACAGCTGTTGCAGCGCACACCTCTAACAGCTGGCAACATGTTGCGAGAGATTTGAGCGCCCGCTCTCTGGGTTGCTGCTCGCTTGGGTAAACATGTTTGTCTTTACTTTTGCTTTTGTTTTTTGCGTTTCTTCTTGACCTGCATACACAATATATAACTAGCGCGCGAGACAGACACAAAAATACATAAGAGAGCGAGCTTTCCGCGGGGTCTCTCTCTCACCCACTCTCTGCGAATAGAAAACATCTGATTTTTGTATTGCTTGCAATCAGTTGTATGTATGTGTGTTTGTTAAAGTTTTGTTTATGGCATATCGTTCATACAAATAAATGTTGCTTGGCCCACAATAGAAACACACACACATACACACTGTCAAGAAAACCCGTATGAAAATGGGGACACAAGCGAACGGAATAATATTCGATTACATTATAGCCCACTAATTCGCCTTCCATTCCATTTCGTTTTCTTCGCCTTATTCCCCCCCTTTCCCCCTCATTTAGTATTCCCTTTATTTCAGCTGTCCATTATCATTTACATTTCAGCGCTGGCAAAAAAAAAAATAGGAAAAGGAAAAGCGGAAAACGGCGAAAATTACACGAATTTACACGATTTTCCCTCGCAATCAGGCGTATGACGCAGTGGAAGTGCGCTACAATTGTCAAGGAAATTTCGCGGAAACGGAAAACGTATTGAAAATCACTTGGGGTTGCAGGCGGAGAGTTCCAAGGTGTGACAAATGCAAAATGTAAAGGTTTAATAATATTTATTTCTGGAAAATTGTTTTTCAAGTTGCAAATTTTTTACTACGCCTTAAAATATTTAAAATCAAAGCGTAAATCTCATAATTTGTTGGTTGCCAATCTAAGATGTAAATAATTGCTAGTGCATTGCAGCATAACGTCATTTTTAGTTTACAGTGAAATAATTTAAAATCTTAATCAATTTAATGTTAGTAATTTAATTTAGTTTTCAAGACAATAATTCTTTCTTTATAGCAATAAAAAAAAAATATATATATATAAAACAGTTGCTCAAGTAATTGGCAGTGAATTAAGAAAAGTGCAATCAAGTTGATTGCAGAACTTTGTCATATACGAGTATTGCCCCGTTGTTTTTTTTTCCTTGATTGGCACACTTTGTCTGATTATTTCTGCACTTCTTGGCAAGCCGATCGAGCGAGCGAGCGGGTTAAAAAAATAAATAAAATAAAAATGTAAAAAAAAGCTTAGGAGGTCGGTACACGGCACATTGTTGGACTAATTTCATTTAGCTCGGCCACCGTCCTTGGCATGCTTTTTGATTTTGCAACGTGCCGCGCTGCTCTCTGCTTGCATTTATTCATTTATTGCACATTTTCGTTATATTTCATTTTTTTCTTATTTCTCATATATTACCGAGCATTGCCTTTATTTTTTTGTTTGACGCACATTACGAAAATTTTGATTACCAAGCGGAAAATGGAAGCGGGGCGAATGGAAAATGGTAAGTGGGAAAAAACGAAGGGGAAAATCAACAGAAAAAAACCCGTTTCAATCAGATAAGAAAATGGAAAACAACACTGAGGGAGTGGAAATTGTAATGTTGCAACTTTTCAACAAAAAAAAAAAAAAAAAAAAAAACAAGTTCCGTTTGCCTTTCGTTCGTTTCGAGGTTTCCTTTCGCATTATGAAACCCCAAAAATGGGTTTTTAACAACACGTGAGTGCAACGAAAGCCACAGACAAAGAAAAACCTCATTTCTTTTAATAAATTTATTTTTACTACACTCTCCATATGTTCGTGTTTCACTTTAGTCATTCCCCAGCGAATGCGTCACGAAATAAAGTTTAATTATACTTATTCTCGTTTTGCCTGTGGAAGAAGCTCGTTAAGATGTGTCATCCACAGCGGAAATGGTAAGTGGAGATTACTAAGATCAAGTGGACTTGACAGTGTGAGATTTGTCATATAAGGCAGGCAGGCAGGCATTTTGGAGTTCAGAATTTTGAATTACAAGAAGAATAAGCAAAGAGGAATCTGGGAATATAGCTTATTAAATATATTTAAAGGAGATGATATTTCCGTATATCTTAAAGTGTGTAGTTACTAGTAAATACGTTTTGATTTATAATTTTCTTACTTGTAATACAGAGTTCTTTGAGTTATACAACTATATATTTCAATTAACAAACAGGCACCTTGTGGGGCTTTTATTGACCAAATTTAGATTTCCCAGAAAGCCGGCAGAAGACAATCGCTTTTCCAATCGCTGATTGACCTCGCTGATTGACCTCGCTGATTGACCTTACAACAAGCCCATTATGTACAGTGTTTGGGATGCGCAATGTGATGGTGGTGACCCTCTCCCCAATCATAAAGCCTTCACAGCTGAGCGAGCGAGCTTTGGTATGCGAGTATTTTTTTTCTAGGGGGCCGCACCTTCAACTGGGTTATATGTAGTCTTCCTCTCTCTCTCCAACGCCTTTGTGAAATCCCTCCCTCCCACCTTTCGGGTTTCCTCTTCGCGGAACAAAGAACACATTTCAGATATTGGGAAACCCATCTAATCAAATAATCAACATGGTCATCAGATAGGGGAACCTATTTGTTGTACCCTGGTAGAATGTTATTATAAATTTGGGTATGAGTCTGTGATGTATGAAACCCTATAAGAAATCTCCATCTTTGTGAATTGTATTTAAGAGATATTTGATCTACAATTTGATATAGTCCAGTATTTAATTGTTTTAGGGTAATCTATAAAATGTAGTTTAGATTCTATGACAATTTATATTATATTTTTATAGATATTAGGGTATTTAACCGCCTGCTTTAAATTCACTTCCTTTATACTTTTATCAAAATATAAAAACTGAAGGCTTCAAGGTTTTTAAGTCGCCCCTTCACTCACCTTTCGAGACTTTGTTAAAATTCCATTATTTGTTTTGCTTTTTGCTGCAACGAAAAGAAGGGGGAAAACAGTTGATTAGAAAATTAAATTCTTCACATGTAATTGATCGACATTTTTGTAGTTTTTTTACAAGGAGAAATTAAAGCGTAATTAAATTGTTTTTAGCTTTTCATTTTTTTTTTTACAGAGAGTGAGCTTCCCTGTTTCTCTTACACAACAAATAAAGTTAGCCACTGCTCTCTCTCCCCCACATGGCTGCTACTCACATGTGCGCAGTAAATAATAAAAAAAGAGTAAAACGCAAACAAAACCACAGCGAGCAAAAACAAAAAGGCAAAACAAAAATGTAAACAAACGCAGCAGCAGTCCAGTTATGGTGCTCTTCTTCTTCATCGTCTTGTGCTGCTACTTCCACGTGTGCGAGGGAGAGGGCGTTTGGGGCTCGCTGTAACTTGAGCACGTGAAAGCGTCTCGCTTGCACCCATATAGGGAGTTGGGGCCGAGCAACTGGAGTGGAGTGGGCGGAAAAGAGATGGAGACTGAGAGCCAAGCAGAACCAGAACAGGACTCGCGTGCGTGTATATGTGTATGTGTGAGGTGCGTGCGAGCACGTTTTTATTTTTAGCCAAGATATGTCTTGCAAATTGAGAGCAAAAACAAAAAGGAAAAAATAAAGGCACGCACTTATTTTGCGCTTGTTTTTTTTTCCTTTTCCCTCGGCGAAAAGCAAATGACCGCAAGAAGTGTTAATGCCTTCTCTTCTTCTTCTTCCTGTCACAACTCCAGTTCTGTCGTTCATTCGGCCTCTCTTCTCTTTTATTTACATTTCCAACTGCGCACGTATAAAATTACTATGACAAATGCTTCAGTGTGTGTGCGTCGTGTCGTTACATTTTATTTTTATTTAATTTTTACCTCTTTTTGAATTGATATAAATTGGTTGAAAAGCTTGAAAAACTTTAATCAAAGTTCATTTGTTTTTGTTTTTTGCCAAGAACAGCTGTGGCTTGTTTTATTTCGTTTTGTGTTTTGGCCTGGCTATTTTCGTTTTTGTTTTGCTTATCTGCCAAAAAAACAATAAAAATAAAATACTTTCACTTATATAAAAAAGCATCTAACAAGTAGGGAGAGCCAGGAGAGATAGTGACAGTCGCCTTTTAATCGTTCTTTTTGCGGAATTCTTAAAATCATCAATGTGACCTTTAAAATTGCATCTTTAAGAAGATTTCTTAGTCGAAATTTTAATTTGGGTATGTCATTTTATATTTTAATTTATATTAATGCTATATTTGTTTATAACTCCAAAATTTATAAAGTCGTTGCATCGTTTTCTTCCTCCTAAAATATATATTTTTTTAAATATATTTTTAAAGCATCTTCATATATTCTCTTTCTTATAGATACGATCTGTTGTGGCATTCTCTCTACCTTATAGAGGTATGAGATACGACATCTTCCAACCCGGACACGTGGGTGGGTGAATGAAATGTTGCGCAATTTGTTCTCTGCTCATTTATTTCCATGTTACATGGATCTAATAATGTTGAAAAAGCTTTTAAGCACTCACACTCTGATCTTCTCTTATTCTTTGCCTTCTTCTTCCCCAGCAGCTGATAATATCAAACAGGTTACAAGCGAGAGAAAACAGAGAGGGAAGATACTTAGACGTAGAGAGCGATTAAGATAGCTAGGTGGAGAGCGAGCGATAGAGACAGCGTAAAGAGAGCGATAAAGAAGTTCAAAAGGCAGACCTTATAAACGACAAAACACGGCCCCATGCAAAGCAGCAAACAAAAGTGTTGACACACAGCAAATGCAACGCCACAATTAGAAAATGTGTGTCAATTATATTTAAAAAAAAAAAGAAGGAAAAACTCGGGTAGTTTTCCTGACTTCACCCAAAATACAACAACAACTATCACATTTGAGGGAGTGGAAAGAAACGGCTACGGGGAGCATGATTTGAATTGCCTTTTCAGTAAATGTGTGTGTGTGTCAAATAACGCTGAAGGGGGCGTCGCAAAGTCTCCCAAAGTGCTTCACCCACACAAACAGGCCACCAACTAAAGTTCAGCCTCACTACAAAAGCTTATATGTAACGAAAATTGAGGGTGGAATATGGGTTTTAGTGATTTAGAATGTTTTTTAGTTATAATTTTGAAAAAATAAAATATCAAGATTGAATAAAAATATCCTTGTATATTTCCACCGCCACTTAATACAAATTTATAAATATTTGTAAATAATGTAATGTAATTTAACATTTATAGTTAAAGAAAATAGGTTATCTGTCTCCATGACATCAAAAACTGTTTTTTTAATTAAAAACCTAAGTTCTAAACTATTTCAAAAAAATTTTGTTTATAGATACTACGTGGTTTTGAAACCTATTTTTTAATTACACCTGTTTTATTATTTTTAATTCACTTTTATTGAGTGCCCACTGTCACTATGTGCGATCTTCAATTATTCGTGTGCGCGCGTGTACATCTGTGTGTGTGGGTAGAGTGCTACTGCTGGTGGGTGGGGGCAGTGGGGAATGGGGTTGGGGTCTCAATTGCGCTGTATTGGTTAGCGCTGTGCTTTTGGCATTACGTCACCAACACATGCGCAGCTAACCAGCTGAGTGGCAAAGCAACGTCACAGATACACCACTACCATTGCACAGCCCTTAAAGCCATACAATTATTTTAAACACCAACCTTTTTTTGTATTTGTCGCTTTTTTTGAAACGTTTCCAAATCCTCAAATTTTTTGATTGATTTTTTTATGTGAATTTACGATGATTTTTAACTGAACTTGATCTGCTTTGTGTTCATTATAAACTTAATTTTCTTGCTTTTTAGGTATTCACTGTGGCTGCTTTTTGTCGCCTTTGATTTTGTGGCTTTAATTGGCTTTTAGTCCTGAAATTGGCAACAGAATGGCAATGGCCACATATCTTTGCACTTTTTCTAAGCTGCATTTGAATTCTCAACGCTTTTGAACAGCGCAACGCGTCGTGAACCTTATGTATTTTATTTTAAATACACTTTTTGTATTCGTCGTTATTTTTGTAGGATGTTTTTTTAGGTGTTGTTTTTTGCTTTGTATATATATTCAAGTTTCTCGAGTTCAGTCGCACGAAACGGAATCGGAGGCAGGTAAACGCGATTATTATTAGCGCAGCGTAGCAGCAGCAAGCAAACTTGTTTGCTTAGATTTTTTATTTTCGGGTGGCCTTTGTATTTATTTTCTGGTCTCTTTTTTAAATCTTTTTTAACTGCACTTCACACACGCACACGCTGGGGGAAAATAATGCTGTTTCTAGCTGCTGTTTTGTGGTGCTGTCGTCGCTTTGAAGTCTCGAAATGAAATGAATTGAGAAATATATGTGGGAAATAAAAGAGCGGAGCTCGCTCGAACCGTTCGCTGCTGCTGACGGCAACTTTCTAAAACAGCTGAGCTGAGCAGCCAGCAGGCAGCCAGCCAGCGCTTTGTTTATATATATACTATATGTATATATACACACTCTATATACCAGAGGTGGCTGAGGGGAAAACTACGTCGTACATTTGGCCATAGTTTTATGTGTTTTTTCATGTGACTGCAACATGTTGCCATGGCTGTCGGGCAACAGCAGCAACGTCAGCAGCAGCGAGCCAGCAACATGTTGTCCTCGCGCAGGGGAAAAATGTACACAAAAATCATATGGAAGCAATACATACACACAAAACTACTCAAAACCCTCGAAAAAAAGTAAATAAATAAATAAACACACATATGATAAGCCACAAGTAAATGGGTGAAATACGAAAATCATGTTGAGCCAAATCACAACTAGCAGTTACAGTAGGTACTCCGTAAAAAGAATCAATTAAACAATTTCTTGCTTTTACAAAATTCAACATTTATAAAATTTATAAGTGATTTTCTTTAAGTAAGAAATAAGAAGAATTTTTAAGAAATAAGAAGAATTTTTAAGAATTAAATATATTAATGAGCATATTTACATTTTTTTTCTGTTTTCTTACACATTTAATATATTAATTCTTTGTTATAAAATAATTTAAATATAATAAGAAACTCACAGTAGATTACTAAAACAGATTTGACCTCAATCTAATTTTTGTTTCTTTATTTTAAAATTAAAACATAATTCTAAAGAACTTAAAAGCTAATTTAAACTTTAAAAACAAATAAACAATACATTTTGATCTCAATTTTATTATGATAAACATATGTACATATATGTACAATTTGCAAACCCTTTATTATTAAAATATATATTCAAGATATATTTTTTTCGTAAATAAACCGCTTTTTGTTAATTTTAAGCTACACATTTTAGTGGGACAAGAGCAATTTTTGTTGCGATAGCGATTCAATAACAAAAGCCACTCACAGATACAGAAAAGTATACACCACACACACGTAGACTAAACAAAAACAACAACAACAACGAGAAAAAAATAAAGTGTAGACAGAGATAGAGAACCCGTTTCCATATGTTTGCTCGATTCCATGTTGTCGAGTGTTAAGTGTGTGTTTTGCCTTATGTGCTTTGTACTACAAACAGAATCGCTGTTGGCGAGTGTATATAGCGTTGTATATATAGTATATATCTTTATATATGTATATGTACATGCTTTGGGGTACTTGTTGGCAGATTTCTTCAATAAGCAGAAGAACAAGCGAAGAAAAGAAGGTGGAGAGCCCCAAAAAACCAGAAAACAACAACAACGCATGCGCTTTTAATGCAAAATATATACATATACAATGTATGGGTATATGTATGTATATATGTATATATAGCAGCCCCCCAAAAATCGTCAGCGACCCAGACAACAGCAACAACATTCAGAATTTATGTTTTGCCTGCGCTGGTTCTGTGCTTCTCTGCATCTCTTTGCCCCTATGTTTCACTCTCTCTCTCTCCGTCTGTGCCTATCTTTGTTCTTCACTTCCTCTGTTCTCCTCTACGATGCGAATCTTATCAGCAGCCCACACACGCACATGACGACATATATCACACACACACTGTATTTACTTTGCTGATATGATTTGTACTTGACTTTATTTAATATAGACTCTATTTAGAGGGTATTCTATAGTCGAAACATGGAGGGGATTTACCAGTTTTTAAAGCACAAAAACTGGGCATTTATTGCATACTTTAATTCGCCTTTCTGAGAAAATTCTGAAATCCTTAGCCATTTCTAGTCGTAAATCAACTTAAATTCATTTACAACTTTTTCTTTAAAAATGCAATATTTCAATCCAGCCATTTATACTGAATTTCAAGGTGAAATCGACCTGTTGGCGAGTTTTTCTTAACCGTTACCCACTGTAGTAGACAGTGGACTGGACTGGACTGGACAGGACGGACGACACAATCGCAAACGGCACACATCCATATTCACAGATACGCGTCAGGCGCGTCGTTCCAGCCGTCTGCAGAGCTGGTGAACTCAAGTAACCCAGGGTTCTGGAGCTAAAGGATACGCAGATACACGGACTCACGGATTCACGGCGACAACAAAGAAGCAGCAAGCCAGCACAGACAAAGAAATGCCAAGACCAATGCGAAAGCGAAAACGAAGACCAAGGAGACCAGAGACCGAGACCCAAGAAGTCTGAGGTCTGCGACTCTCTTCTTCGTGCTCCTTCCTGGCCGAAAAACAAACAGGAAAACAAGGGAAAAAAACAAAATAATAATAAAAACTTTCAACTTCCCTTATATGTATAGCCAGTTCAATACATATTTTATAAAGACACTGATGTTGAAGGGATAATATCCTTAAAGAGGATATAAGTCATATATAATTAGAAAAATAATATGATAAAGTGACAGGTCTTTATAACAAAGACCTTTAAATTTAAATAAACATTCATAAAAATTAAATAAATAAATAACAACAATTAATATCTCAATACCTTATATATACCTTACATCGGCGACTTGATATATTCTTTCCCATTAATTCTCTTTACTTTGTCCAAGTTTCTGTTTTGCGTTGATTGAAAGGTGTCGAATGTAATTAATGTGGAAGCCTCGTGTGGCGATTAGCAGGTCTATCGATCAATTTGTAGTCCGGGGGTTTTCCTCTCCATCTCTCAAAGCCAGACGACAGACATTTCCCATTTTTTTCTTTATCCCCGACCCCAGATAACAAGTTCGAGACAAATATTTGCCGTTTCCTTTTTCACTTCGTTTTTATCTCGTGCAAGTACAAATAAAACGTGTTTAAACCGCGGGGAAGTCTTTGGTTACAGGTAGTAGATATACATATTGTATGTACCCTATATATACCCTATTTCTTATGAAAAGTCATGCTCCAAAATCGAAAAAAAAAATTTCCACGCACAAAAAACCCACAAGGTGGCGTTTTCAATAAAAGATCAGCATGAAATAAAGATGAGGTCACAAAAGCCCTTGGGCTTAAGTCGTTTATTCTTTGTTTTTTTTTAGTTTTATGTTTTTGGTTGCTTTTTTTTTGTATTTGTTTGCTCTCTAAGTTCAAAGCTTGAAGAGATCCGCTGATTGACGGCTGGCTTTCTTCGGTTAATTTTAATTAAGATGGAATTCGAAAAGACGTGTCTGTTATGATCAACAAGCTACAGTTGAGGTGGTGTTACTAGTATTATTTATAAAAATAGACATCGATAAATAGGAAAATAAATAGCTATGATTCTCTTTAAAATAACAAAAACAAATTTTAATTACTAAAATTATAATTTAAATGTCAAATACATATTTTTAAATATTTTAGATTTAATCCTATTTAAAAAATAAATAAATAAATAAAATAAAATAAATTCTGGTTGCTCTTAAAATTCCAGCCCTGTGTTTATCTAAGTGTGAAATAGCTTTGAATTAATTGTTCATTTTCCATTAACACTTTTCATAGAGATCGTGTGAGTGTATGTGAGTACGTTGCCAAATAAAAATGTTGCTACAGCTTATTTTTTATGCTCTTCTTCTCTCTATTTATTATATACTCTCTGCTTTTGATACACTAAAAGGGCTCCCCTGCCTTTTGCTTTTTATATGCGCAGTTGTTTTCAGCACACAGACACTCACTCACACACACTGAGTTAATTGCGTCGATCAGCTGTTTTGATAATAAAACGGTTAAAAACCTTATGAAAGCAGAAAGCAGCCGCCAAAGAGAAACAGAAAATAAAAAAACTAACAACAATGTCTGTATTGTGTTTGTTTATTTGCCATAACTTATAAATTATAGAAACGTTTTTGATTGCCTCACAACCTGCGACGAAATTCCCTGCAATCCCCTGACAATGTATAAAAATCGCCAAGAACGCAGTTCGAGTTTTCGCGTTTCCCGTTTATAACGACACGAGGAACCCTTGGAAAAACCTTGGATTGATTGTTAGCAAATATAGACCGAACCCAAGGCAGACGGGCCAACTCTTACACAAGGCTCATGTGTTTAAGAACTCTGTGTATGGCACAGTGGAATATTGTTTAATAATAGTAAAGGTTTTGAGATTATAATATTACATTCATAATCAGTCTAGAAACTTAAGAAATAAGGGCTGCTACCGGAGATTGCAGGAGTTTACAAGGATTTTTAAATTCTAGACCAAATAAATTTTATTTATTTTATTTTAAACTTATTATGTAAGTTTTAATAGAAGCTTACAGGATTAATGACATATATTCATTTTAACGTAAATAATGTAAAGTTATTTTTACAGAACTCATCCCCACCAGTAACCACTGTACAACCCTTGGCAATGTCTCTTCTTTTCTGATTCTTTCAGCTCTTTTGTGTCTGTCCCTGTGTTTTCCGGCATACCAACACACTCACACACACAGCTGTTCTTGTAATTTGGCCCACACGTGACTGTGATTGACTCGCCAGGTGAAAAGCGTTGGAGGAAAAGAGCGTGGCGATAGGAGGGTAAGGAAAAACAGCGAACAAGGTGCTGCCACTTTAATGAGCTTTCCACGGAAATGTGGAAAGTTTAAGGTTGAGAGCGGAGACAGCTGCGACATCAAAGCCAAGTGTGTCGGCCATTTTGGGGCCGAGTGATTGTGGGAGGGATTATTAAGGGAAGCGTTGAAGGGTACAGAATAGAAGGGGGTACACAATATATAGATGGCTGATGACCCAGCACTTTGATAATCTACCTCAGATAGCCAGACAGGCGGACATTTTGAATAAATATAAGCAAGGTAAAAAATTCAAGCCAACCCAGCAAAAGGCTATCAATAGCAGTTAGTTATAGTTAATTGGCTTGTGAAAAAATAAGGCTAAATCAAATATAGAAGGGAGTTTTAGATATAGTCCTATCAAATGGCATTGGCATAAAAACGATCATTTTTATTGGTTTTTAACGTGGAAAATAATAAATTATAATAAAAGTTCTTAGGGAAATTCATAAAGAGTCCGCCCATTAATAAAAAGTTTATATTTTAC